GTAGACTCTTTAATAGATCCAATCAGCCAAAAAAACTCAAATGACAAATTACAAAAAAGTGACGCAAAAACTAGGTAATTTATATTCCTTATTTGATAAAGTATCAGGGGTACCCAACGTCAATTTTTCAAATTAAATATCTGTTCGGAAGACGATTTGAGATCTAGAATTTTCGGAACATTTGTTGTAAAATTTCTTGCTTGCCTGCCTCTCCTAGGATTTTCGAACATCTGAAAATGGTGTAATTGCCCATTTTAACGGATTTTTATCCTAAAAAGGTCACCTAGAATTTTCGGGAGCCTTTTTCCTGGCCGAAATTTTCGAAAAAGTAAGTTTTGACCCTTATAACTTTCGGATCACTACACTTTCAGCTAGGAAATCCGAACAGGTGAACAATTTTTAGGGAAAGAAATATGCCTATATCTAGTAATATTTAAATACTAAAATACGTTCAACGATGCTATGTTTGAGTGGTTTTGAACGATATTCTGATTCGTACCGTGAAGCCAAAAATACTACGCGTCACGTGGCTCAGAACGCATGTTTCCCGGGTCGTTCTCCGGCAACGGCAGCGCATTTGTCACTTCGCCGCGTTCTTTAAAACTTTATCTCATAACTCGCTCAATTTTTCAAATGCCAGGAGCTCCCGCAAATGTCGGTGAATTTTCAGGAGCTGAATTTTTGCGACTGTAGCCAAGTTAAAGAAGAAAAAGAAAAATTCGTCGTGTGTGTCAAGGTCCGTTATTAAGCGTCCTCCGTAACCGACGTCGAATATAAATTTCACGTCGTAGTTGCCCAGTTGCAGTGAAAAAAATACCAAAACCTTTGATGCACATGCGGAATTGTGGTTTTTATTGTTGTCGCCGTCATAATATCTTTAACTCACTCTTTTCATAGTGAACAAGTCCCTTGGCACAAGACTGACCTTAACGATTTTCTTTTGTTGCAGCTTGGGTCGGCTCCATTGCCCAGTTCTGCCTCTTCTTCTTCTGCTATCCCGGCAGCCTTCTCAGCGAGCGTTTCGGATGCAGACGAGTGGTCATATTTGGAGGACTGTTCACTAGTGTCGGCCTTTTGCTGTCCTCCTTTGCTAATAGTCTGTACGTCATTTACGTTACACATGGTGTCATTGTGGGGTTCGGCACGAGCATTAGCTACCTTCCAGCTCTGGTCATGGTAGCTTATTATTTCGACAAAAAACGCTCGTTTGCAACAGGAATCGCGGCCTCTGGGAGCAACTTAGGAGCCCTTGGATTAGCACCTTTACAGCAATTAATCGTAGATTCTTTTGGTTGGAGAAACTGCTATCGATTTCTAAGTGGCTTAGCGCTGATTATTAGTATATGCGGGTTATTATTTAAGCCTCTGGAAGAAAAAAAGACAGCTGAGTACAATCTTGAGAAGGACTCACAAGTCATCGAGGATAAATCGTCCAAGAAAAAGGGTCCTCGCTTTCCAAGAAATAACTGGTTTATTATATGGGCTGTAGCGAGCACTGTTGCAACGTTCGGATATTTCATACCTCATGTTCACTTGGTAAGGTACCGTGCATGTTAGAGAGATTTTCGTATGACCTTGAAAAATGGTTTCGGTGAGTGTTCGTTATTTGTTTTATCAGCCAATGGATGAAAAGATCAAAACAACGCCTCTTCGTTTTCCCGCCAAAGAAAACCCTAATATGGAGAAGGCATTGTTCGATTGGCCAATCGTGTAGCAGTATGACGTCAAAGCGAAGTATCGATTGATTTCTAGAAAGTTCTCGGGCATGAAGTTTTTTCACTCGACCGTTCTCTAAACCAGACAAAAGCCACGCGCGTTTGTATCTGATCGATAGACCAATCATATCGCTCTATTTCCGTTCGTTTGTTGTTTCTGTTTTGTTCGCGCGTTTTCATTTCAAGGTCATACGAAAATCGCTCTAAGCTACGGTAAAACGTGCAACAAAAACGTGCAGCTAAAAGCCATGTTGCGCGTTTTACCCCCGACACCCAAACCTGTCTTGCAGCATTTCAGGTGGTTGTGAGTTGCGTCAATACTGACTTCTGATTGGATAAAATTACGCGGGAGTCAGCCCATGTACGAGAGGTACGTCACTTGTTGCAAAACAAGTTTGCCTTGGCCCGGTAAAACACGCAACATGAACAGATTTTGTTACAAAAGTAAACTTACTCTCTACTTTCTGCAACAACTTTTTGCAACCTGCAGCAAGCTGATTTGTTGCAAGATAGGTTTGATTCGTGGGTGGTAAAACGCGCATTATCGCTATTTAACTCGTTTTGCAGCAACGTCGACGCAAAACAAGTGGCGCGTTCTTGTTGCTCGTTTTACCATACGTCGATGTGTGGCAACTGTTTAACTAGTTACAGTCCACGCAAATGGGGTTGCAGTGGTGATAGCGCTCTCTTCACGCCAATGTGGCCAAGGTTCGTGTCCCGAGGGTGACGCCTCTTCAATTTACCAGATAGTTCTCCACTCTCTTCAGTTTATTCATGTTTTAAACGTAGACAGGAGGGTTATAGGCTCATGATGAAGGCGAATTTTCCTAGTGTATACTTAATTGTACAAGTAAGAGGGCCGCAACCAAGTTCAAAGGGGAAACTGGAAAATTTGTTGCCCCATGTTCATGTCGTTTATAAGTTGTCGCAGATGTAAATCTTCTCTCCTTGTCAAAATTGAGGCTGAGCCCTGATACGTTGTTTTTTTCCTTCAGGTTCGTGTTGCAGAAGAGATGGGTTCTTCACATCGGGATGGTTCGCTTCTTCTTTCCTACATCGGGATTGGTTCGGGGATCGGAAAGATCTTCTTCGGAAAAATTTCTGACCTTCCGTGGGTAGATACTTTACGTTTGTACAATATTTGCATGGTTCTTTCTGGACTATCGCCACTTCTTGCTCTACTGGCAGTTGGATACAATATGCTGGTCATATATGCAGTAGTGTTGGGACTGCTGGACGGTTGTTTTATCGGACTCATGTCCATTGTGACGTTTGAATGCGCAGATCGTCACAGGATATCGGAAGCCTGGGGTGGAGTTCTTATGATCATGTCATTCTCCATGTTAATTGGCGCCCCAGCGGCAGGTGAGACAAAGTTTGGCTAAAAACTAGGTATCCGGATTGTCCAGTTTAGACTAGTATTCGAACCTGTTTGTTGAGTTTTCAGGGAGACTATTTCTCGAACGGTTTTATCTAAATCCCCATTTATTCTGTTAAGACCTGTTTTTGAGTCAGTGGACGAAATCCCGTGGTGTGACCATTCAAATGAAACTTTTTTGGCCAAAATACTTTATCAAAGCATTAAATTTTCAGTCTAAAATGATATCTGGAGCTTGTTTGGAATTTTGCTTTCTGCTTAATCTCTCCGTCTTATATTTATTTCCTACAGGTTGGTTTGGAGAAATAACCGGAAACTATCGGAACTTATTTTTCCTCGCTGGTGCTCCGACGATTTTAGGCGCGTTTATCTTTTCATTGGTTCATTGTATCAAGGACCCTGTGATCTCCAGGCAGCAGAAACGAGCTATTGTCATTCCAAACCACGAGAAAGAAATTATGCTCGTCTATGAAAGGTTGACGGTTGTATAAGGTCAATGAAAGTAGAGACCTTTACATTTTAGGGATGACGAGAGTTTCTCAATACGTAGTAGTAAGCGCGCGTGAAGCCACGTCATTTTGGCGGGAAAATGCGAGAATCGTCGTCATTCTTCTACGCGTTTTAGCCAAAATGTCGTACTGGCGGAAACAAGTTATAAGTTTCGCATTTTGCGTTCGGGAGTGGGCTTAACCTTGTTCAAATAAAAATAGCCGAGTTAACTCTTCTGGTGAAAAAAAGTCAAAAATTTTAAAAGCTTCCCGGGGTGTCTATTTTTTGAAATTACGCGAAAAATGAAAAAGTCAAATCTTGTCCTAGTTGTGGTCCTCGTCCTCTAATCTAAAAGTCTCTAGTGTTATCGGTTAAGCCCCAGTATCCACATACAAGTTCTCCAAACTGATCTCCATACATTTCCTTAAAGAATGAGTTGAGAGAATTTGATAACAGATCAAGGCATTTTTTCTTGGGTGATCAATTTATTAATTCTCATAACTTATCTGTTGACAGTGTATAGATATTGTTGGGAGAAAATTGATCTTGGTCACTATTGGAACTTAAAGGGTTAATACAGTAATTGCTAGATAACTGTATTAAACGGTAACTTTCTATTAGTCCAGCATACATGTTTTGCATCCCACAAATTAATGTCGTACCCAGATCTCTCTCTCTCTCTCTCTTTGCCTTTGTCGGTAAGAGGTCTGGGTACGATTACCAACAAATAAAAGCACGTGCTCGGGGACGATCCGACATCGCTCAAATTAGAGCCTGTTTACATGGAGGTGGGGGACCCCAGATAGGTGAGGTAACATGTGGAGAGTCCCCTCACCTAACATGTAAACGTGATGAAATTAAAATGAAAGATTATATGGACAGGCGGGTTACCCCACCTAAGCGGGTTACCTCATTTACCAGGTGTCCCCCACCTCCATGTAAACACGCCCTTAATCTGTACATTTGTGTAACTTCTGATGAAGTATTTGAAAATCCCAGAAATGGAAAGTAGTTTTTAACTGCGAATTACTTAATGTCCGTGTTTTACAGTCAGGTGTAAATATTTATTGGAACATATAATGCCGTTGATAGCGATATAGTTACATTTTCAAAATACTTTATTATGTGAATGCTTAAATCGATCTAAATCTATATCACCCATCACTGCAAGACATCTTGATAAAATTCAAAAATAAATAAATAAATTGAAAATTGAAAAAAAACAACAACAACAATCAATGTAGTAAATGTCAAAAAATCGATAAAGGTGTATTTAAATTTGTTGACAAAACTTAGATCAAGGTGAAAATAAACGGGTACAAATTTTTTCAAGGTCAATAAAGGAAATTGTATGACGCAAACGAAAGTGTTGTGTACGTGACCTTATTTAAGGAGTGGTAGGCATTTGAATGGGACGGGATGGGGAGATAAGGCTTATGCCAAACGTCGAGCTTTTCATGAAACAAACCAAACTCTAATTTAGGTCGACCTAAATTAAGTTAAGATCGTCTAATGGGTCAGACATCGAGCTGAGGACGCGAGAACCAATCAGCTGAATCAAATCAGTAGAGTTTCTCCCGCACGTGGCTTGATATACATTGTCACTTAAATTTTTAATTTATTAGTTTAGTTCGTCGCATGTGAAGATCGACGTTTGTCCCGGAGACGGATAGAACGTGTTGAACGATCCAAACTCATTGAGACCAACTTTACCTAGCCAGACGTCGAACTTTTCATGAACTTAACTCTCTAAGTTTTCTTCGTCTCATGAAAAGTTCGACGTTTGGCCTGGTGCTAATGTCCCACATAACTTGCGACGTAGAAGTCGAAAATTGGAAGTGTTGGAAAGTAGGATGCGTGGCCGACGGTGTTGTTTGGTGAAGCGCGCGGGGAAACTACCAGGAGAATAGGACAGAAACTACCTTTGAGTCTGTGGAGGAAATCCTGCATTTCTTACATATGTTTTAAAAATAGTTATTGCGCGCATACGGCATCAATTATTTTGAATCATTGAAAATTAGAGTTTTTCTGGAATTATTTGCAAGCATCCACACAACGCATTTGTGTTTTAAGATCTCAATACTGTTGCGTCCTCAAAGCGATCCATTTTGGGAAAGTCGATGTTTTTTTATTTTTTTATTTTTCTTTACCAAGAGCTGTTGCAGAAACCTTTCGGTTTTTGGAGCTGTGTTGGTTGTTTTTTTTTGTTGTTGTTGTCTCAGTTGTTTGTTGTAGTAGTCGTTTGACTATGATAATGACCGATAAGGCCCTGGGGATGAAGTCGTCCCCAGGGTTATGTGATAGTTCACGTCCAACAAATTCGTCCAACATGGCGGTAAAAAGTGAGAAGGTTTTTGGAAGCCGCGCGAAACAGGGTCGAAGGACGGCCAAATGAATATTTGTCAACTGCCGCTTGAATTAATAGATGAGATTTTGAAACATCTAGATTCGATTTCGCTCGTTAAATCACGAGAAGTCTGTCGATCATGGCGTGCTTTGCACTTCCAACGAAAGTACAATTTGGTTTGGAGATGCCTCTGTTTAAGAGACATAGATCGGGATATTTTGATCGAAATAACTGGAAAAAGAGTCATCTTTGGATGCGAAGATCCTGATTCCTCCAACAATAGTAAAAAACATGCCTCACTGATTGACGGTGTAGACTGGGCGGCGGTTTATCGAGAATGGTTCCGTAGCCGCCATGTTGGCAAGTGGCCAAGTATGTCATGTGAGTTTAACTGTCACAGAGGTGAGTAAAATGTTACTTACCTACCTCCTGGCGAGACAGACGCCGGTAATTTTTAGTGGGCGGGACAACGCAAGAACATAGCAAAATGTACATAAAATGTTGAAAATTCATCATTCAAAAAAAAAAAATACTTGGTTAGGGACAGGAAACCCTTGCACTTGTCAGTCAATGGCCCTCTCCTTAGTGGAGGGACCAGCCCCCTGAGCTGCAAATATAATTTGGTCTTTTGATAATGTCTTGCCCAAATTGCAAAATACCTGGCCCACTAAGTATCTAACTTAAAAAACTGCTCCTGCAATCCCACAGTTGTCCGATTTCCATAATAAATTCTGACATCAACTGCAGGGGTGCTGGGCTGCGGAAGCACTAGTATACCTCGTTTTATAAGCACACTAGTTACTTGATATCGATTGTGGGAGTGCGGGACTGCAGGAGCACTCGTTTTACTCATTTAGATTGAACTATTCGGCATAATAGAACACGACTGCAGGACTACAGGAGCAGTTTTTCAAACTGCCTTGTCTGATGAAATCCTACCTTCAGTCTGGATTGAAGATTCAATCATTAAGAAGGTAAAGAATGTCTCAAATGAATGGAATGGTTATGTAGAAATTGTTAGACTTTCTTGAGTTTAGAAATTTCTAGGTAATATTATTTTTCTACTTACAGAAAAAAGCCATTGTGTGCCTCTGGAACGAGACACTTGCACACAGTCTTTATCTTTTTTATCTAATCTAACAGTACCTATTATCTTTGCTAACGGCAGGTGCAGTTTTGGATATTAAGTACTCTGGTGATCGATTGGTAACTTGTGGGGAGGATGGTACCATTCGCGTATGGGATAGCTGGACAGGTCACTGCGTAAGATCTATTACAGCTCATCAAAGGGCTGTGCTGTCTATTTCTCTGAGGCAAGCACCAGGTTTGTAGAGTTTTTACGCCAGACACCTATTCCTAGACTATAAACTCTTCTTTCTACATATAAATTATTATCGTATTCCCATGGTATTTTTTAGGATCGTCACCTCATGCCGACATGCCCCACGACTTGATGATATCCGGTTCTAAAGATTGTTCAGTTAAAGTCTGGGAGTTAAATATCGCAGGTCCTGCTCTTTTCACTATGCATGGACATGTTGCTTGTGTCAACTGTGTTGCTGTGGAGTCTAACTTAGCAGCTTCTGCTTCAGACGATGGTTCCATTAGAGTCTGGGATATCACAACGGTTTGTTTTTATAACTTTATTACAAAGCATGCAACAACCATCATCAGCATTGTGAGGTGACAGGTTGTGTAACAGAAAAGTTACAAATCTCCAAGTCACGTGACCCAACCCAAGTTACAATTCCCTAAGTCAACAGAAAAGTTGCAAATCCCTAAGTCACCTCACGATGCTGACAAAGTCTGAAAGATTTGAACAAAATATTTATTCGTCGTCATATTTATTGCTCTGGGTTTTGGAATTTCCTGTACTAATGTCTTTGCAACAGCGGGTGAAAAACCTTTTTGGTAACCTTGTTTTCCATTGTTTTCAGGGTCAGTGCTGCCATGTGCTCAGTAACCTAGGGGAGTGGGTGAAGTATGTGAGATTTTGGACACAGGAAACCCTCCTTTTTGTCACTGACAACTGTAACTCCGTTTTATGGTGAGTATCTGCCAATTTCATTTCCTTGGTCCCTTCTTTTTTTTTCTGCTCTCTTGCTGTAGGAGCTGGAAGGAGAGAGACCTGGGAATAAGCTTGAGTATGAGCTTTGCAGTCAAATCAAGGGGGACTGGGTATGATTTTGTGTATTATGAGATAAACAACACAAGAGCTACAAAGTCAGAAAGAGTACACCAAGCTTAGCAAAACTCTCAGGTTTGGTGTTGAGAAATGAATGGATTGCCACGCACTGTCTGGACATCTATATATTTCTTAGAAAATTGTGGAAGTTTTTGAAAGCCTGTATCAGTCTCATTCAGTATTGACTCGATAAACACCAGCCTTGATGATGTTTAAAAGTTCAGACTGCTACTTTGGGCTATGTGGGTTCCATGTTGTTGCATGATCCCATAATTCATGGACTCATAGCCAGTCATAGCCCCCGTCAGTTTGCACCATTATATAGCAAATGAATTTAAGTTATGTATTAAACATGAATGTTATTTTTTGATGTTTTGTTTTGCAGGTCCGTGAAAGGTTGGAAGCCCTTATCATCTGTTCAATTGTCTGATACAACGACTCAAGGCAGCTCATCACCCTTAAACCCAGGGGTACAGGGTGCTGTCCTCAGGGGTCAAACATCACTTGTGTTAACACACTCATATGGACTTTTCTCTTGGTAAATATTTAAGAGTTATTGGACAAGCAAAATATTGTGTTTTATCATTGGCGAGCGGATCAATAATAATAAATTATTATTACTATTTGCCGAATTCATTCAGTCACTGAGTTTGTTTTTTGATAAATATCTTTGGGAAGCTGCCATTTTCACACAAGAGCCATTGCAAGAAGGAGAAAAGCGTGGTTTCATTTGTGCATAAGTAGAATGTCATTTGCAGCCAAACACAGTTGGACGAAATTGCGCATGAGCAGGAATGAGCAGGCCATTATTTGTAGGCAGTTATGTGCAGGTCACTTGGTGGGCTGTAGGCCAATGAAAAGGAAGAAAAAATTGCACCAGATGATAACAGCCCTTCTTAACCCTTTAAACCCTAACATCAAAATTCAAATTCTCATTTGTTATCCCTATACGTTTTCAATAGAAGTAGTGGGGAGAATTTGTTGGAGTATCAATTTAGATTCATCTTGTGTGATCATGTCCTTAATTCTCACCTCTGTTTTATAAAGATGATATACATGGAGAAAACATCCCTTCTTAAAGGGTTAATATACGCTAATGCAGCATCTAATTAAATGTCATGTAAAGGTAGAGCAACAAATGTCACGGCTTTACAATGGCAACATACTTCACATCGGCAGGTGATACATATTGTTTCTCTCTTTCTACCCCCATTTTTAGGGAGAACCAATCAGATAGTAGCTTCATACATAACTTTTCTCTGATTGGTGAACATACTCAGAATGTTCAACGAGGAGAATGTTTAGCTATGTATGGAGCTTTGGTTGCCATAGGAACACGTTCAGGTGCAGTTTTTGTGTACCACGTTAATGGGAAGTGGAAAGATCAGGTGAGTAAACCTAAAAACTCTTAACTGAAGCAGATTATATGGTGCACTTCAATACTTCCCCTCACTATTATAGATGATTTCCTGCATTTTTCTGAGATACATGTTTATCTTCATTAGTTTTCAATGTATCACAGGCCATTACTTGGTGGGCTTGATTCCGCTGCTCTCTTCAAGAAAAGAACAGTGACTCATTTACAGAACAGAGACTGCTAATCGAGCCTAGCCTTCTGGTAGGGTGCAAAATGATTAAGATATTATGCAGAATTTTCAGCTGGTCAGAAAAGGTGTCAGGTGATTTCTCATTCGTTGCCCCTAAATGTTTGTAATAGTGTAAACAAACTTCCTACTAAGTGACAATTTTATTATTATCCAACTGATTTGGTAAATACTAAAACAACTATTCCCCTCAGGGTCGGTGAACAGCACGTCTCGGTATATTCACCACTATTCACCTAACCTCCCCCTCAGGGGATAGTTGTAAAATATACGTTGATAGTAAAGCATTTTTTTTCCTTTTAGTTTTCTAAGGTTCACTGTGTGTTGCATACAAGTCAGTCACCCGTCAATGCAGTTGCCATTGCTGATGATGGCGAGGGTCCAGTTCTGGCCACTGGGGGAGACGATGGAATTGTAAAGGTCCTTCGCTGGTTTCCACCAAGTATACAGAATGGTTAAAACTTCCCAAGAGGTACAATGTAGTAGTGACAAGTGAAAGTCAGGGAATACACAAACTTATCAAAATACAGCACCATTTTAAATTTATGCATAATGAAATATGAGGTATTATTTGGCTAGAGTTCTCTGACCAGGTTATTATTTTATACAAGTACAAGAGAATTTAATTTATTTATTATTTTGTATGTAAGGCCTGATTCAAGTGAAAACAACAACAATATTACCAAACCAAACTGATTCAAATGCTGTTCTTCTGTCATGCCTACTTTATCAGTTAAGTTGCGCCAGGCTCATGACAGTTTAAAACCAGGCGTAACTGAACATAAGAGACAAAGAGAAAGAATAAAATAGATATGAAGTGAGACTTCAATTTATTGACCATTCTTTTTACTGAAAAATACAGGAAAGTTTAAATAAAAATTATATATTTATAAAAAGTAACATTCAGCATAGTGTAATCTCTGATTATTAAGTGCAAAACACAAATTAAAACTGCAAAAATGATTTTACAATCTTTGAAACAAAGATAGCAATAAGTGTTAGAACAAAAGTTGTATCATTATTCTTTTACGTATGAAGTTACAGAATGTTGTTTTTAATTCAGTAAAAGTAACCGGAAGTTCTGTGTTGTCTTTTCTCGCTTTTCACACACAACTTCAAAGCAAGTTAAGTTGTAAGGCTTTTATTATTTATATTGTCTATAAATAAAAATACAATGGCTAAGTAAACAAAATTTGTGAACTCACATGTATGTTCAAAATACGTCAGCATAAGCACAGAATGGGATCTCTTACATAAACAATTAATTGACAGTACTGTACTGTGTCGTGGCATTGCTTTTTAATTCACTGAAAATCTCCCAAATAGACAGTTATGCCATGTTTTGCACATAACATCTATTCAATGGCAAAGCCCAAAACAAAGGGAAAGTATTAAGTTTATATCACTTAATCTAAATCACGCTTAATTTCTTCAAAATAATATCAATGTTAAATAAACCAAAAAGCCCCCAAGATAATATTTAGTTTATTTTGCACAAAAATTATGCAAGTAATTTATTGTCCTCATCTTTGGTACAGTCCAACTCCTTACTCTACCAACTTTCTTCTGTTCGACCAAACTTGAAAACAATTGCACTGTTGATGAAAATAAAAGAACACATTTTACATTGATCAACAAAATAATTAGAGCGCAAAAATAAGGACTAACATGAAACACCTTCACCCCTTCACTTGTACACTAGTTTGTTTTTCATTATTGAAGAATTAAATGAGGCTCCTTTTGTTAACCTTTATAACACCAGGGTGCAAAGAGAGTCAGTTTTACAGCCTGCCATTCTGGCAAGCCGTAGCTAGCCTGTACTAGCCCACAAGTAATTTCAACTAGCCCTAAAACCCTTTTTTATTGGCAGGATTGATAACAATCCTTCTGTAATTTGAATTTCCCCAAAAAACAGCACTTACCCGTTGGGCAAGTTAAGAACAAAAATCACTTAGCCCGATGGCAAAATCCGCTAGCCCCGGGCTATCGGACACGACTTTCTTTGCACACTGAAAACCCCAACATCCACAAACAAATGCCCTCGTCTGATTTCATACATTTCCTTAGAGAACTAGTTGACAGAATTTGATAAAAGATCAAAGCAATTTTCCTTTCATGGTTGTTTTATTACAGTGTAATTCTCTTAACCATTTCTTTTAAATTGTATTATTATTTTTGGGAGAAAATTGATGTTGGTCTATCTTGGGACTAATTACCCTTGAGAGTGAGCTTAGGTTTATCTAATACAATGACTTGCCTGAAGAAAATCAAAGCATTTTGCAAGAAGATTGCAACACCTGGCCAGGGGTCAGCTTTAGCTGAAAACAAAAATAGTATTGATAACTACTACACACATGGTCATGAAAACATTAAAACAGGAAAAATCAGGGTTGTCACTAAAATTTCAAGTGAACAGTAACATAAATATAACATGTCTTATCTAAGGGAAGAAAGCTCATATAAATGGTTCGCATCTTATTTCTCTTCTTGACTTCGTTTTCATTTTGGTTCTATGCAAAGTTTTTTTCTTCTATTTTCCTTATCTAAGAACAGGTGTTAGCTGTTATAAAATAAGGGCCACTCTCTTAGTTTTAGAGGGAAAATCCCCGGAAAGCCCCGGCTCTTAATGATAAATGGCCCTATTGTATGCACACTTCCAATGGGTGCTGTATGCCTGCCTGCATGTGCAAACCCTTAAAATCCACATGCCAATTCTGCAGTCTGATCTCCATACATTTTCTTTGAACAACTAGTTGAGAGAATTTTATAAAAGATCAAAGCCTCTTTTTCCATTGGTGGTCATTTCATTACATGCCATTGCCATTCTCATAACGTTTTCGCTTGATTGTTGTTGTTTTAGTTGTTGATGATGAATGGGAAATGTAACCAGAAATTGATGTTGGCCAGTAAGATTTATTGTTAGCCTGAGGTGACTGTGATTTGGGATTGCCATACATGCAGGTAGTGGTGTTAAGGGAGTGGTCAGGGTGGTGGTATATACTGTACCTTAAAACCATATCTTTTAGTAACAAGAACTACTTGTAACCACAGTAAACTATCTCTAAGACAAACACCTTTGGGACCTAGCCGAAACTATGTGTCCATCTTAGAGAGACCTCCACATAGGCAGGGACAATCTAGCTGCCCATTTTAGCAAGAAGGAAATTGAGGTTAAAAATACCCTACACCTGATTTATAGTGGTAACAGGCCTGAGTAATTTACAAATTGGTCATCTGAATTTGAGCAAAAAATTTACATACTGTGGACAAACTTAGAAACTAACAAACCTAATCAGAAGAGCTGTGCTCACAAATTCAAATGCAGTCATGGAATGAGACCGAGTGGTTGTTTACATATACCATTTACAAAACGTTTTCAGAAAATCCAGTTGGAAAGTAAAATTTACTTTTGGAACATGACTCTTTGGGTCGTTCCAGAGGAAAATTTCCAGGAGCAAAGGAACTTCTGAAAAGGTAGTCTTGTTTTCTCAGTCAGAATGTTCCAAATGGAAATTTGTGTTCTATTTCTTCATAGCCTGCGAAAACATCCGTTTCTCCTCGCTCTTCGCCGCTGGGGACGTTTCGCGCGGAGGAACGTCTGCGACTCAGCGACAGAAATTCCATACTGATGACGCAAATCAATGTTTACATAATAAATCCGGTAGTCATGGGGTTCCAAACACAAATTTGTCCAATTCTAAGTGTCTTCTGGTCGATTTTGGTAAAGTGTTGTGTTCATCTGCCAACGAGCTCCAGCAAAACTCAAACGCTTCTTCTCGAGAAGAGTATATTCTACAAATATTGACTGTTTTGCTTGAGATTCTTCGCGTTTACATTTGACCTTTGTGGCCTTTTGTCTTTTGTCTGTCATTCGTAAACAATAGCTAAAACAATGTAACTACTCCGTCGACCAATCAGCGCTTCTGACCGGATTCTGGACAGATTTTACGTCATCAGTATGGAATTTCTGTCGCTGAGTCGCAGACGTTCCTCCGTGCGAAACGTCCCCAGCGGCGAAGAGCGAGGAGAAACGGATGTTTTCGCAGGCTAATTTCTTCATAGTTATCTTTGATAACAGTTTCAGGCTTTCGTGGCCCTTTTTCGCTAAAATGGAACTGATCTGTACAAATGGTAAATGCGATTTCAGAATGAAATTTACTAAATTATCATGAATTTTGCTTACTGTTTGGCCAAACTGTGAACCGGCCAGATTGTCCATGTGACAGTAAACAACCAACATTTTCTATTTCTAATTTTGTGCCATGCATATAATTAATTGGGATGAACATCCATGATTCGTGACATTACCTGGAACAACATATTCACCAAACAGAATCCAACAGGCTGCAATTAAGCTACCAAATAACAGGACAAATCCCATCAACAGCCACACCCTGGCACCTGTCAAGACATTAGTCACAAAATAGATAATAATTTGGAAATTACTAGTGGTACAGTCATTACTAGCACAATCCTGCTTCAATTAATATAAGTAAATAAGATACCAAGGGAGATTTTCAATGAGATTTTCAGACAAACGAAACATTACTGTCCATTATATACAAGTGTCCGTATTAAGCAAGTGTCCATTGAGTGGGGTTCCACTGTAGTTTTATTAGGTAAGTAAGGAGACCAATATCATTTTTATAAAGCAGTCTGTTGAACTTTAAATTTTTATCATACACTTGCAGAAGATAAAGTTTTTAGAGGTGGATTAAGACAACTACCATGCAAGTATTGTCGTTTTCAATATTTGGGTTTGGAAAAAAATATTTGCTTGAATTATCATAAGAATAAAATATTATTGGCTGTGTTAATGCACATAAATACAACCATCTTGCAAGAAATAAAACAAAACTCATCTGAGCCCATCATTACTGATAAGAAATTAACCCTTTAATGTCTCTCTCACCCTTTAAGTCTCAATCTTAACATACAAATTCTTGAGACTGTTCTCCATACATTTCCTTAAAGAATTAGTTGAGAGAATTTGATAAAAGATCAAGGCATTTTCCCTTTTATCTTCTAATAATGTAATCATATCGTTAGGAGAAAAATTGCTTTTGGTCACTTTTGGGGTTACTTGAATCCGAACTTGCCTGTCTGTCCTATACACCCCGTGGTGTAGGTTTCTCCTCTGACCTGGGCATTGGAAACTGCATTTACCCTACAAGGAAAAATTCATCGAAAATTATTATTCTTTCAGAACTAAAAGACTGACCATCTTTTCAAAGTTCTGAGGAAATGTAACAGCAAGTTTGATTGCTTAGTCTACGAGATGTTATACATAAGGGACATCAAGCCTTCTCTTAACACGTAAGCCCACTCCATTCGCGCCAAACTATTTACGTGACACTATCGTACATTTTTTTTTCTTACTGTGTTTCTTACCTTAGGAATTATACCCACTGGACCCGCAAATATTTTATGTATTCTTTCAAATGTTACATATTCGTTTTACACCTTATACTTTTTCACTTTTAAACTTGATAATGGCGTAACGTAGTGCCGAAACGTCGTTCACTTTTTTAAAATGTTTTTTAAATGTATTCTAAAAATCTTTTAGCGTTAACTTTTCGATCAAATCAGTAAGAAAATTAACAAACTTTTGAAGAACACAACACAACATTTGAGTTTGGAAAACATGTTATGGATACAAAATGGAGCTGTATATGAAGTACAAGAAACAAAGAGTGCTTATTACATATAGTGAAAACGTGAAATTAAGGGGACAAGTTTACAAAATGATACAATTTCTTATCTCAGAATGTCCCTGAAAAAGGAACCATCCCATGCTTTAACACGGTTGTCACTAAGATTTCAAGTTGCCAGGTAAATACAACAAGTAGGCAGGGAATCAAACGGCTAGGGATTTCTTTTGGTTCTATTTTCCAATAAAAGTAGCCGGGGGGCCACTCTCTTAGTAGCCGGGGAAAATCCCTGGCCCCCGGCTCTTAATGACAACCCTGTTTAAATTGAAGTTCAGAAAAAATACTTTTCGCTTTCTCTCCTCCCTTCTTTTTTCGCTTTTCTTGCCTCATTTTTTTTTTCTCTTGCTGGGCATTTAGTAGGCTTGATTTTGGTGGCAAGAGTTTTTAGGAAAGCTTTTAGGATCTTAGGATTAGGTGAAAGGAAAGGTAGGTGGGTAATGGAACAAGATTTTCATGGAGATTTTCAGGTCAATGTCACGTGGTTTTTTGCTTCTTTCTCCGGTGTCCTTGACTGAATTGTGCTCATTCTGGTATGGTTTGAAAGATCTCTTCACTCTACTCAAGTTAGCGAAGAAAGTTGTCCTTGACCGTTAAAACTGATGACGTCACAAAGGGTAGAAAGGACCTGGATCCGCACGGGCGGTTACGGGCGGTTCAGGGGCGAATGGGTTAAATGTAAAATGTTTGAAAACCTACATGAACAGAGCAAAGGAGGCTATAGCCCCAGGTGTGTGATAGGCAGGCTCAAAATGATCTGTAGCTGCGGCATCGATGATAATCCACCAACCAATGAAGAACTGTTGATTAAAAGGATATAATAATTTTGTGTTATTAGCCAAGCATAAGGTGAAGATGCCTGGATATTTACCTAAGACATGAGGGTGGTGGAGTTGGGTACTGATGTTAGTTTTGTAGGGCTAGGGAAGCTGTCTATGTAAGACAACAACAATCTTTATTTTTGTACTCACTTTTGCTTGACGATAATAAAAATATTGAAATTTAAATTAGAGTACTGGCTGCCTGGAATAACCACAGGAGCTAGCAGAGTCAGGCAGCCAGTTGACATCAACATTAAATAGAAATAAATTAAAGGTCAGCAAGATACTGTGCCACAGACGTCAGCCTTATGACATTAACCTCATACTGAGGAAATGAAACTCCTGATACACAGATGCCACAGGTGAGGAAAACATGACAGAAGAAAGGAACATCAGCAGACCAACAATGGAACAGCATGCAGGAATAGTGAGAATTGTAATGCTCCAATCACAGCCAACCATTCATGATTATGATACAAAGGCCACTGCTCAATCACTTAACCTTATCGCCTGAAGAAGACTAGCGGCTGAAACATCGTGATCTGTACCCCAAGTGACTATACCATCATTGGTGTGATGTTAAACCCCTACCTCCCAATATTACGTGGCCTTGTGGTTTGACTCTGTTGTAATACTGAAGAAAGTTTGACTAAACACAGGCAACCATTCATGATCTGATGAAAACAGCGTTCCAATTCTGCTTACGACTCTGTCGTTTACATTCCACTTATGATCTAGTGAAAACCAGATTATCGGGTTCAGAAGCAGAAGCGGAAGGATAATCCAATCACAATGCACATTCACAAGCTTTTAGATTGGTTTAGTTCTTCCGCTTCTGCTTCCGACTCCGACAATCTGGCTTTCACTAGATCATGAGCGGAACGTAAGCGACAGAGGCGTAAGCAGAATTGGAACGCTGTTTTCACCAGATCATAAGCTCTACACTTCTGATTACTACTCCCACTATGACTCCTTCACAAGTAAAAACCAGCCTTTAGTGCTTTAATTGCTGGGTATCCTTCATGCCCCGAAATTGTCAAAACTTAGTTCTATAATTACTGTGAAACTCACAAAACCGTGAACACTAGAAGTATTTATGGAATGTTATTGTGTCGCGAGAAATAAGCCAACAAGGTGCAAGATAACTGACCTGCAAACGGCAACGGTAATTAGTTTGTGGTTTTGAGGTTTGCTTGCGTATCCTGAACTTGTTGTGATTGGCCAGTGCACAGTCAACATTCCTGAAATTTTTCAGTTGTTCACGGTTTTCTGAGTTTGACAGTAATAATATTTCAATAGCTGTGTCGCCGTTACCCAGTTTTTAAAAATTCTGACAAGTAAACATGGCTATTAAAAGCTGCTATAGGACTGATAATGCCAAAAATCGTTGACTAAAATCAAAATTGGCTATGTCTTAGTATTTCGTACATCGTCAAACTTATAAAAGCTTGGGAGTCTCACCAAACTTCCGGCCGTGATTGATGATAGTAAGTTCCTTCTCTCTGTAACCGCCTCGAAATCGGGGCAATGCATTTGATCCAAACATCCACTCATGATTGCTAGTTGTATTTAGGACTTTTAGGCTAAGAATGCCTCTTCATCTGAACAATTTTCGATGTATTTTTAGCGATTACCAGCCGATCCCAAGAGGAAACTTCGGATGGAGGCTTAGTAGCCGCTCCATATGGCTTGGTAGCCCCGTCATCTCAATTGGTAACCACTCCAATTACTCAGCAAACCGCCATCTTTCTTTACGGCGAGGCGGTGTGCTTTTGACAAAGAAAAACGGGAAAAGGTCTTTGAAAAAGGATAGAGAAAAAAAGCCAGAAATATGTCTATTATGGAATATAACGGCGCCGCCATCATAGCGATGGTTGGCAAAGATTGCGTGGCCATTGCGGCAGATCGTCGTTTGGGAATCCAAGCACAGACATTGTCTTGCGATTTTCAGAAAGTTTTCCAGATGGGAGATAAGCTGTTTCTTGGTCTTCCTGGCTTGGCTACCGACGTTCAAACCGTATCTAACCGACTATCGTTTCGGAAGAACTTATACGAACTTCGGGAGAACCGCCAGATAAAGCCTAAAACCTTCATGAGCATGGTATCCAACTTGCTCTACGAAAGGAGGTTCGGTCCGTATTTCGTGGAACCTGTAATCGCTGGATTGGACCCGAAGACTAACGAGCCTTACATCGCTGCGTTGGATCTGATCGGATGCCCCATGGAGACGAAGGATTTCGTGGTAAGCGGAACTTGCTCAGAGCAGATGTATGGAATGTGTGAATCACTTTGGGAGCCGGACTTGGAACCGGACGATCTGTTTGAAACCATCTCTCAAGCGCTCATGAATGCCGTGGATCGAGATGCAGTGAGTGGCTGGGGTGGAATTGTACACGTGATTGAAAAGGATAAAGTCACAACACGGACTCTGAAAGCTAGGATGGATTAAACTTTTCTTTTCTATAAAACCAGTACACTGGCAGTGCAAAAACATTCGTCACCTCTATCTAGCTACCCAACCAGCTATCCTTGATGTAGGGCAAAATGCACCTATAAAGTAGAATATTTACAGTCCCCTGTTTTTCTGTAATATCACTGAGATCAAGCACTTGCTTTAATGTGGGCGATCTTGGTTTCAAATGTTCCGAGCGGGCAGGTGTTAGAGTTTATAGCAATAAGTGCTCAATCTTGATGTTCTTACAGGAAAATAGGAGAATGTAAACAGTCTAGCACTTAAGATAAAAATGCTTGCAATGATTTGTGCCAGTTTGGACTCCCTTTGAGTATTCCCTGTTTAAGTTCACCCCATGACATAGAGTGAAAAACCTAACAGTAAAATGAAAGCTAACCATTTTGAGTCAGTGCTTAACCATTTGCACAACTGTAATCACTACTGTCAGTGCTTAACTCTAGTCACGATCAATGTCTGGGGTCAAACTGGAATGGAATGAGTGTGAAGGGAGGCGAAACCGGCTTTTTCCCTTCCAATACATGATGTAGAATTACTTTTTTCCATCTCTTCTGCTTGCCTATTACCCTTGTTAAGGATTTCAGATCTACTACAGAAACGAACTAGACGTTTTGTGTGCTAGTTATATTGAGTGTTAAGCTTAAAGAGTTAAGAGTAAAGCTGTCAACTGTATCAATGCCGTGTTTTGTTAATGTGAACTAAGGTTGGGACTGTGTTGTTTTACTGTCACATCTTGTTTCACAATAAAACATTTGTTTGACGTTACTGTGGAGGGCTTGTGGAGAATCGTTTGACCTTGAGTTTAGTAGGCCCATACAGTAACTTCCATGCAGACGTTCTTAGCTCTTCATCAAAGTGTGACAAAGCTCTAAGAGTGTCTGGTAGAGGCTAGTGGGCCAAGCTTTTTCATATCTGGTTTTGTTCTTTGTACAGGTTTAGTGCCCAAATCCCCAATGCACAGTTACTTAACTTAGTTTAAGAATTTTAACAACTGCATCGCTAAATGGAGGTCGGGTGCCTGGAGTATCTAGGGGCTTCAACTTTCTGGGCATGCTGAACAACTGCAGACCTCTGGCACTGAAAATGTTCTTAGTTGTCAACTCTGTAAATTGCATTTAAATACATTAATCATTGAGGTTGATAGACCACTTGCTAATTTTGTTTCCTGTGGCTGTCCTTTGAATACTGGGGATAAACATCCATAAAGGGTGGGCATTTTCTCTGTCCCAAATTTACCTCATTTTCATGAGAGCTACTTGTCTCATTTTCATGTCAAAACCACATGTCATCACACTTGTTCTCCATTGCCTCAAAATCATGTGTTATGACACATCAACTGGAATCTCTAGCACACCTTATTAATCTTTGATAACTACTAGTTGATTACCTCATATTACACAATTTTCATAATGTAATGATCAACTGTTTGTGCAGACAACAAGACATTCGCTAGACTTTTTGGACCTCATGCTTTGAAGCTCGCTTCACTCACTTTTAACAACTTATGAGAGGTCGACTTGTAGCAAGTCTAGACATTCTCTGTCAGATTACTTCTGTTAAAATTTTAGGAGCCCTTAATCAAAAGAGCTGTAATTTACTCCTTTTTGTAAAATTAGCGTAATTTTGTGGGGGTATATTCCTTTGATGTTCTTTGATTTGACAAAATTATCAGATTGTTGGTTGTTTAGTCTGTTACACTTTCCAAGTTTCAGGGATTTGAAAGCCCTTCATCCGTACGTAAGAATATGTTCTCAGGCTGCTACTGCATAGATAATTATTACAATTTTTTTTATTAGAAGAGCATTTATGTTTTTATTTGCCTTTCCGTCTGTTTCCAGGCCGCAAGTATTTCATTTTCATGTTGTACGGTGGGCCAGACCAGGGGCGGATCCAGGATTTTTTTTAGGAGGGGGTGCACTCGTCTCTTGCTCTACTTCAACACCAATAGACCACATAGTTTTTTTTTCGCAGAATACCAGTTGTATTAGAAAACCGCAGATCGTCTGGGGGCGCACCCCCTGCACCCTCCCCCTAGATCCGCCCCTGCAGACTGGGTGAAAAGGGCTTGAAACCATTTTACTGGAGCTGTGCCTTGCGGGTGTTAAAAATCACGGCCTTGCAACCACATGAAGGGTAGATCAGCAACTGTAAGTCCCTCTATTGCATAGCGAAAAGCAAAAAAATATTTTAAACAGCGTGAAATTGTACAGATTTGTTATAGTAACGAAATAGCGAAGAGACTGCGAACAGTCTCTCTTTTTCTTCAGATTTAGTAAGGGGAGTGCACGCGCGCGCGTGCACTCCGCGTGGTCATTTGCGTGTCTGTCAGTGTTTGGAAGTTTGAATCGGTCTTTTTGCCAAAAATCTCTCAATGTTGCTGATAATAGGGCCATTTATACGAGGAAAAATAAGACGCGTCTTACATAAGACGCGTCTTAAATAAGACGCGAACTTTCCGTATAAACGGCACATTTCGTCTAAAATAAGACGCGCCTCAGCTAAGACGCGTCTTATTAGATAAGATATCCTCGTACAAATGGTACAGTTCGCGTCTTATTTTTCCTCGTATAAATGGCCCTAATGTAAGCCTGGACCAGGCTCCGCAGTGGGGAAAAGGGCGAAAAAAAAAAATGGGCTCGCTTCGCTCGCCGATTTCATGTTTTCATATCGCTGTTTCACCCCGTTTTTTTGCCTTTTTAACTTACTACTGACTACTGGAATCAATCAATCTCAACAGAGTTTCGCAAGTCTAAATGACAAAATGAATGAAAATACAATAGCTGATTCTTTAGTTTTGCCAGAAGTTAGTGCATCTTTCGAGGAAAGTTTCTTCTAATGGACAAGTGAATTTTTGCAGGAATTTTATTCACATATATTTTTTGTAAATCAAAAAATTGACAATGCGGAAAATATTCTGTCGTCAAACAGAATTTTTAATTTTTTTACGGATTATGGCCTTTTCTTCAATTCAGGCAAGCCTACTGATGTAAAGGAATAATTAAGAAAGAAAGATTTCAGTTGGTTTTGCCGTTTTTTTAAAGTCGTCGATCAATGCGAAAAAATGCACTAAAATATGTTTTCGACTTTATGACCTTTAGCTCTGGCAACTTTAATTTAATAACGCAAGCTAACGCAAATCAATCGTTTTCAACATTGTTTCATACCAAGTAAAGTCATTCAGTATATTTCCTCCGCTACTGTGATTCGCCGAAGAGAACTATAATCAGTTTGATATTTGCATATGACTGTAACTTCATTCATTAGAGTCTTCATTACGCATGTTCTGTGTAGAAGCCATATGTTTTCGTGATAACCGGTGGAAAATTTAAATAGATGATACAAGACTATAGTTGGCGAAATTTTCAAACCATCGGCGGTTTTAACGCGATAGAAAATCTAGGAAAAAAATGCTTCGTCCAGACAACATTGGTTTGAATTTGGATATTCACCCTGATGCGTTGGCGATGAATCAAGCAAGTAGAGCGGGAAAAACGCCTGAAGAAAGCCGTATTTTAAAAGCAGCGGATTGTAAATTGCCCATGTTTACAAGATACCGTGAAAGTACCTGCAAAGAGAACTTTTTTTTCGTGCAAGTCGTTGCGCCGAAATTTGGTCTTTCCGCACACCCGGAAGAAAGTTGCGAGGTAGAAAAACAGTCCATGGATAAAATCGTCCACTGTTTGAACAACATGAAACCCAAACCGCGATTTTTGGTTGTTCATGGAAATTTCACCAACGCTGAGCCAAACGACAAAGAATTTTTCCCGCAGCTAGAGTTATTCAAGTCTTCGTTTGATAATCTAAGCGCGGAAATACCCGTTGTATGTGTTTGCGGTCGCACGGACTGCGGAGATCCACCGACTTTAAGCTACGTTGAATCATATCGAAAAACGTTCGGCGATGATTGGTTTGCTTTCTGGGTCGAAGGAGTACAGTTCTTGGTGCTAAACACGGCGTATTTCAAAGATCCAAGTGGAAACACAGAAAGTTTAAGGATAGAACAACGAGAATGGCTGGAGTCGAAATTATTAGAAGCTCAGGTTAATCCGCCGCGACAAATAATTCTTCTTCAATCTACTCCGTGGTTCTGTAAATCTATAGACGAGCCTTACGACGATAATAACCTTGATGCTAGTGTTCGTCAAGAAGTTGCCTCTAAACTTACCGAAGCTGACGTTAAATATGTATTCACAGGTCACGTAAATGGCATAGGAAAAGACCAAGGATTAGAAATAATTCAAACGAGTTCTTTAGGAAAGGAAAAACTAGGTTTTCGTGTTGTTAAAGTAAATCCTGAAGGCGTTTTGCATAAATTTTTCGAGTTGGACAACTCCCCTATCGATCTTAATTCACAATTGTAATATTTATCGTTTTGTCTCCAGCTGCGGGAATCAAAGCCGGCGTGAACGACTTGGCGAAATTTCATGAAGCCGTAAGATTTACTAAAAACATGAACTCAGCTTAGCGGAGGATTCATTGATACATTGGGGTGAATGTCCTTTGCGCCAAGTCCGGCTCATCCTCCCGGTTGTCTTCATATTTGGCATTGAAAGTACTGAGAAAAATCTCTCGAAAGTTAATCAGAAACCCCGAGTAAAAAAGCAGTTCCAATCTCAGTTATATTGACTTATGCCTATCATCTAGATATTATAGTTTAAGAAGGTATTGGATTTGATTTTTTTTTAATATTTTGCTTTTTATCTATCTCAAAGATCACATCCGGTTCATCAGTTTTTAAATGTAACTAAAAAACAAATTATTAAAATGTTTCTTTGTCAGTTTCGTCAGGTTAATAGTTGGAAGGAATAAAATGCATATTTCCGCCTTGTTTTCGGTATCCAAAGATTTTAGCAGCCTTCAATATATAATTAAGCGTTCATTTCAATTAGTTACTAAAGTGTCGGAAATCTTCTTCACTTTTTGTCGATTGCCTGTATTATTTAGTCTTTAGGCTGCTTTCACCCGATTTAGGTAATTTCCGTATAAGCTGAACATTTCCGAACGTTATTTTCTTCTACACAAACAATTTTCTTTTACTGAAGTAAAAGAGGCCCGCAAGAGTTCCAATGCCCGGTAGTATCACAAACGTACAACGTATAAAAAATTCTTATATTTTTAAAGTAAGATTTGCTGTTCAGTTTTTTAATGGAAGGCCTCAATACACCGTGTCAAATTCCTTAAATAAGGAGCTCAACCTCCTTCCAACATAACCCCCCAAATTTGAAACCCGAATAAGCCTTCCATGACAAGCCCCTTGAAATTCAGTTCCGAAAAGTTCCTAGGGAGCTTAGGAATTCGGCTTCAACACCTAAAATATACAACATCCTCACCGTACTGACCAGACCTGTACTCCGGCAGCCAAGCCCCGCGGGACGTGGTCTTCGATGGCCCACGTTCGATACCGTAAAATTCCGAAAATAAGCCCCTCCATGTATAAGCCCCTCCACTAAGCCCCCCAAACTCGCAATGCAAAAAACCCTCCGTTAAATCGCCCTCCAAATATAAGCCCCCTCAGGGGTTGATACTTGGAAATTGCCATCATATACAAAGCAAAACAAAGCAAAAACGGTAAATTTCCTTCTAACTAGGATTGCCCAATCGATTTTGAAACGCAAATTTTCCTCCATAGATAAGCCCCTCCGAATATAAGCCCCTCCAAAAATAAGCCCCTAAAAAGAGCCTTTGAAAAATAGGAGCGCCGGGATTTATTTTCGGAATTTTACGGTATATTAAAATTTTAACATGACTCAGAGGCTTAAGGGACAAAATTGTAAATTTTTCACGACTCCATTGTCTCGAAATTCTCAGAAGAGACTTGAGTGCAAAGAAAACCAAACCAGTTATGGACTAATGACCTGAAAGCCTCGGAGCCATGTAAGAATTTTATCATATCGAAGTTAGGCTGTTAGCTTTGATCTACCGTATGGACTTTAGTGTATATAAAACAACTAAGAAAAAAAGGCGGGGCAGCTGATCCCAACTCTAGTTCCTAGGGCTTTTCCCTTCTTCTTTCAGCGCCGCTGACTCGCCCCAGTGCTCTCACAAGACGCTGTTGTATTGGAATTGAATAAGACTGGGGAGGAGAAAGCCTTTTAAATATAAGCGTGACGAAGCGTGACATCTTTGATCATAATCAATATGGCTTGTATGTTAACGTTGCTGTATACACTATCGCTGTTCGTCAGCCCCGTTTTAACTGCCCGAATCGCTGGTTTTCATGTTTTTGGAGGTTCACAGTACATGAACATGCGACAAATGCTGGAAGAACTGTCCTCACGCGGGCACGAGGTAGAAATAAAAATAATTCGTTTTCTACTTTAACCAATTTTATATAATTTTGTTTGGCTCTGGATATCTGAATATTAGTTCCTTGTGAGACTAGCACTGACTTGATATGACAGGTATGTTAAACCATTAAAAACAGTTTGTAAACACACGCAGAAGGCAAAGAGCCGATGATGCAGTCTTATTAACATGTTCATGGAAGACATCACGCGATTTGTGAGGTGCTGCACGTGCAACCGGAAGTCGCCTCTATTCCGCTACTCTCCCTCGCAGGTCCTCGAGGAGCACCTGGTAATCGAGCATAAACCGGAAGTGGATCGAAAATTTCTTTGCCGTCCACCGCACAACCACCACGTGAAAAAGCTTTTAGTTCCTGTTTCGGATCCCCTCTAACTTCAGCTCTAACTTAATTTCCCAACTTCTGAGAGTGGGTGAACTTGAATAATCGTGAAAAAAGTTTAAAAGGACGCAAGCAGGTCGATCATTTTTCTCAGTGACGTTTCCATTGGAGAGGACTTTGCTGAAACGCAAGGTCTCTACTATCGCCTGTTTGCGTTACTTCTCCGCGTTGTCTAATTGAAGTTAAATTTCTGGGAAACTACCCACCTACCCCTCCCCTAAGCCATCATTTTGCCCGAAGTGAGAAATAAGTGTTAATGTTAGCTTAGGGGAGGGGTAGGTGGGCAGTTTCCCAGAAACTGAAATGCAAGGTCTCTTCTATCCCCTATTTGCATTACTTTTCCGCGTTGTCTAATTGGCTCAATTTAGGTTTCCGGGAAACTACCCACCTACCCCTCCCCTAAGCCATCATTTTGCCCTAAGTGAGAAATAGGTGTTAATGTCAGCTTAGGGGAGGAGTAGGTGGGCAGTTTCCCAGAAACTGAAACGCAAGGTCTCTTCTACCCCCTATTTGCATTACTTCTCTGCCTTGTCTAATTGGATCAATTTAAGTTTCTGGGAAACTACCCACCTACCCCTCCCCTAAGCCATCATTTTGCCCTAAGTGAGAAATAGATGTTAATGTTAGCTTAGGGGAGGGGTAGGTGGGCAGTTTCTCAGAAGGCAAAATTGATCCGTCTAATGATACATTTCTGTCCTTTAGGTCGCATTGTTTACTCCATCTACTCAGCAAATCAAACCCAGTGAAACGATACAGCACAGGACGTACCAAGTGCCATTTAAACCTGACTTTCTTGACGATTTCATTCGACTTGAAATAGAAGGGCGCACATTCGAGTTGTTCATGAAAAAATCTGGGATACAAAACGGCTTGTGTGAAGGCGCTTTAAACAGTACAGACATGCTTGATGAACTGAAGAATTACGACCTGATCATTTACTATGGTGGTATATATTGCGCTCCCTTGGTTGGAGAATTCCTTAACATTCCAAGGGTGGAAATTTTTCCTTATCCGCCAAATATTTTATTAAACGCGTATCATATGACCCCCATGCCTGTCTCGTACGTTCCACAGCTTATCAAACCGGATCTCACTGAAAAGATGACTTTTGGGGAACGGGTGATAAATTTGGTAGCCTACATTGGCAGTAGACTAGTCTTGAGTCTCGTACTTGACAGGTCAATGAATAATCTTACGATCAAGTTCAATATCAAACCTGAAAGAAGTTTCAAAGAAGCTGTTGGTGATGCAGAAATGGTCATAATTACGGCAGACTTCGCACTGGAGTATCCACTTCCTTTGTTGCCAGGTATTCAAGTAGTATTTTGGAAGCTTTTAAAAGCAGTCACGACGAAGGCGAGACAACGACCACGTGAAAAACAATTGGTCTTAAGGTGATGTTAAATACACGAGACGATTCGTAAGGACGATTTTTAGCGCGTTGCAACATTGTCGCGATATTGTTTCGAGCGGTTGCAGCGTTGTTCCAGTATTGCAACGCTGTGTTGCGCTAAACATCGGCATTGTTTATCGTACCTTATAAACATCACCTTTATGAGCAAAACAACAGCTCCGCACGACCAGCTCCTTAAGAATTCATTTCCAGGAAAAGTCGCCTGTACATGACATATTGCGTGGGTCGAAATAGAGGCGATAAAGTTTAAAAGGACGCAAATTCAGTTTTTTAGCGACATTTTCACTGTCGTCGTAGTTGCTTTAGCTCCCTGTTATGATTACGAAGACGTCTAAAGATAATGGTCACTCTTTTTACTTTTTGTATTGGCCATTCTGAGGCAACCTCTTTCCCATGGTTCTCTCTCAAGAACCCAGGGACCATTCTCGTTCCCAGAGCCACTCGGCTTAATTTGTAACGAAGGCCACGTGACCAAGAAACGATGGGCTTTGGGGACGAGAATGCCAGGGGGTGAGGTCGATTTTGGGCTTGAGCATGCGCAGAGACTGGGTCAGTAATGTGTCGAATTGCACTATGGGTCTCTGTAGGGGATGCTGTTACTTCAAGTTTCACTTTCGTAGGAAACTGGGTCAAAACTCATCCACCAAAACAGCCCCATAATGCAATTCGACACAAAACAGACCCAGTCAGATGGCTAAAAGAACGTTTTCACATGACGTCACGTCCGTCATGTCCCAAAACAATCCTGTGGGAAATGAGCCTTTTTTATGTAAAAGCTTTCTTTTGTTTCAATAAAATTGTATAGCAGCAGGGCACGAGAGTGAAAAGGCTTTATGATCACAAGAAGTCATTAAAACCTAAGTAATAAACAAAATTATATAGAAAACGCTCCGTGCTTCTTGCAGACGCTTTTAAGCTGGCAAACTGTTATATATTAACTTAAAATAAGACCATAAAAGTAATGGAAACGAAGCAAATTAAAAGTTTTAAAGATTTTAGCCGGAATGTATACAAAACAGGTTGATTCATTTGGTGATCGTCCGAACCTTACTGGTACCGCATTTTTAGTGACCTTTGAAACACTGTCTCTTCGTCAAATTCGTTAACCTACTTTTTTCTTATTTCTTGTTTATCCGCAGGTCAAGTTATGGTTGGGCCCTTGAGTGTCAAAGATCCTAATCTCATCCCCCCTGATTTTGAAGAATTTATTAGTAGTTCAGGGGGGAATGGTTTTATCATAGTTTCCTTTGGATCGAACGTAGCTTCTCTTCTTCCTCAAGCGGAAGTGGACATGTTAGCTTTAGCGTTTGGAAAACTTAAACAACGAGTTGTGTGGAGACTCAAAGGTACTGTCACTTAAGGACAAACGTCGTCGTTAAAACATCCAGTCCCATGAGGGATTGTTAAAAGATCCCATATTTCATATGTAACCATGCGAAAGTACTGCTGAAGAGGTTTGAGTTTCATCTTCGCACCATACGATTTCATCCGCAGACTAAAAAAGTACGACAGCAAAGTTTCAGAACCATATGAATTGTTACGTAATATATCAAACATACGGTTTTCATCACCAGATGAAACAAAAGAAGAGATGCAGTGTTTTGAAAAGACGACGCAGCGGAGTATTTTTTGACGAACTTCGAGGTGTTTCATTTGGTGATGAAACAGCGAATGTTTGAATCAAACAAAACATTTTTTGAAGGAGAAACGAGGAGCAAAAGTACTGTTCAGATTTCCAAACACTCATTAAACATTAATTTCCTTTGTATTTTCTTAATGAATTATTAACGAGTTTGAGAAACCATATTCACAGACTCAAAAGTTTCGAAACGTTCAACATATCTCTTGTTAATTAGCTTTAATTAGCTATGGGAGTGAACTGAGGCTTGTAGATCACTTAATTAGCCAATTCCACTTAAGACCTTACGGGGTTGGGTATAGGTTGTGTTTCATGTAATATATCAAACATGAGAGGCAGTGTTTCATCACCAGATGAAACACCGAGAAGAGAGTTGAAAAATACGACGCGCAGCGGAGTATTTTTGACGAACTTCGAGGTGTTTCATCTGGTGATGAAACACTGTGTCGAATGTTTGATATTTCTTCTCAAACAAAATCATTTTTGAAGGAGAAATTAAGGATGCAAATACTGAGCAGTTTTTCATCCGATTTCCAAACACTCATTAAACATTAATTTTCTTTGTATTTTCTTTATGAATTATTAATGAGTTTGAGAAATTAATATCATATAAAACATTTCTTTCAGGTTACATACCTTCATTTTTGGGTTCAAACATTAAAGTAGTGGACTGGTTACCTCAGAATGATCTTCTGGGTCACAAGGATATCAAAGCTTTTGTGACTCATGTAGGACACAACAGCCTTTATGAGTCTGCATATCATGGGGTTCCTGTGGTAGCAGTTCCATTGTTCGCAGATCAGTTTGCGAATGCCAAAAAAGCGGAACACTTCGGTCTTGGTTTGACAGTGAATCACAGAAGTACTACTGTCCAACAGCTTGTTGAAACAATCGAGCTGGTCGTTAGAGAACCAAGGTGATATCTGGTTTCAGTTTCTTCCACTGTTATAAGTGTGTATATGTATAAGTGTGTTTAAGTGCAAAACGGTCGATTTCTGCTTGCTAGAGGCCAACATTCCCAACGGCAGTTTGAAGTGAGAGAGGTTAGAAACTAACCACGCGTTTCTCTCCCAGTCTCCATGTCCGCCTTCAAAAGCCACGCCTGTAGAACTTTTGGTTTTGTGACCAACTCAAAATTAAGGCTGTTTTACAGCCAGTGTCTATACGTAAATATCAAGGAATATTTCTTTCTTAGGCAATATGACTCTGCAATCACGGTCATAATTAGCTGAAACATTTTCGGAAACACAACATAGGTACATACATACTTTGAGTTCTTGCCCGAGAACACGTATTGCATTTCTCCCCTATCCTTCCCCTTGTGTTGCTTTCAGTGGATTGCGGCTTACATGGGCCTTTCGAAATGAAGTTTGAATGCAGGGGAAGAAATCCACAAGGGTTTCAACAATTACGCCCGGGAATTTTGCTGAAAATGAGAAGTGTGAATGCTTGCCTATACTAATTTCGGCAAACAAGGCCAGTTTTGCAACCTTTCCATGACATTATAGTCGCCCCACAAAAGGGAATCCAAGACAGTCGTGGATTCTGGATTCCAGTCTTTGTCAGTGGAACTTGGATTCCGGATTACAATCCTTAGTGGGATTCCGGATTCCTTGAACTGTATTCCGGATTCCAAAGTCCAGGATCCGGATTCCACAGCCAAAATTTCCCGGAATCAATCGGGAATCCAGATTCCTTTTCATGGGGCGAATTATAGCGTGGCTGTATTTTCCAGATTCAAGCAGAGTGCCATGCGTATCTCCAGTCTGTTAAAAGACCGGCCACGCTCCCCTCTTCAAGAGACCTGTGATTGGATAGAGTATGTGATCAGACATGGTGGAGCTCGGCATCTCAAAGCTCAAGTGTTTAACATCCCTTGGTATCAGTACTACCTACTTGACGTTATGGCTTTCATTGTTGCTATGGTGACCTTGGTTGTCATGGTGATAAGGTTGAGCTGTGCATGCCTATGTCGTTTGTGCTGTGAAAGGAGCAGCGACAAAACCAAGAAGGATTAAACAAGAGTAAAACCAACAACAAGAAGAAACAAAAGCTCAGCCAAACCTTAAAATGCGTCTTTTGTTTTGTGTATAGTGCTCTTGAAAACTAGAAAGTGGACTTTGAATACTTTGCGCCTCAAAGTACAAAGACAACATTAATATGTGGAACTGACCTCTTTAAAACGTATTATTTGCCTTGAGCAGAGTACTTACTGACTGTTCCCCAGTCGTCTCTCACAACCTCTCCCTAGTGTTACACAAGTGTTGCACGGCCTGGCGCGTTACGCGAAGAAGACTGGGACAAGTCAGGAGTACTTACAATCAGGGACAAAAGTAGTTGACACACTCGTTTAAAATGGGTGCTTTTATCAAACATTTAATTCATTTATTATTTCATTCCTTTTAAACGCAGTGAATCCCCTCACCACCCGAATCAATGTTGTGTGAAGTACAAGAAAGACTTGAGGGTCCAAAATACAACATTGATTTTGGGGGGAAGGGGTTGGGGTAGACAGGGGAAGGGGATAGGCATGTCCACTATGCAAAAAGGGACCATTTTACGGAAATGTCTCAACACTTTTGTCCCTCATTGTAGTCAATCTCGTCCTCAGAGTCTTTGTTATCATTGTCCTGATCTTTGGTGCTAATCAAAAGGATTGCAGGCTCTGGGAACGAGCTGGGTACTGAGTCGGATAAACGGCGCGCTTAGCCCGACATCGGGCTCAGAGTGGGCTCCTTTCCATTTTATATTTTCATTTGTTAAAGACAAGTGACGAAAGGGGTATCTTGTCTGTCAAAAATGGTCTATAAAAGGGTTCCGGTTTGGACCTAAGGGCGGAGCCTCCCCTTGTAAAACTTTGTCGAGCATCCCGCGGGGCCCTACCCGGTAGACACTCCCGCCCCCAACCCCCTGCTGCTGTCACAGTGATATGGGAATCCCCGCGATTTGGGCATCCGCATTTCCAAAACCCTAGTGATATAGGCATCCCCTTCTCATATTACCTTAGCGATTTGGGTTAGGGTTACAGGGGTGAGGATGCCCATAGCACTGTGACACCGCTAGCTTAAATGACTTGTCCCAGTGGTCTCGCAACACGCTGCTGTTTTGAATAAGACTGGGTACGAAACCCAATAAATATAAGCGTGGCGAAACGTGACATCGTCAACATAATCAATATGGCTTTCATGTCAATGTTGCTCTACATGCTAACCTTGTTCGTCAGCCCCGTTTTGACGGCCCGAATCGCTGGTTTTCACGTTGTTGGAGGTTCACAGTACATGAACATGCGTCAGATCCTGGAGGAACTGTACTCACGCGGCCACGAGGTAGCGTAAAAAAGAAAAATCAGCTATATACCTTTACCAATATTATATAGTTTTGCATCTTATTCCGGTATATCCCAGTAAGCTTGGCCCTGGATCCCGGCCTTGGATATCTGAATAAAAGCTTTTAGTTTTTAGCAATGATAGCAGTTGATATGCCAAATATGTTTAACTTGCTAAAAACATACAGAAAGCAACGAGCCAATGATATAGTCTTGTTTACATTTCACTTCACGCGATTTGTGATTTGGTGCACGCACTTTTGTGCCACTGGCTTAAGGCCAGTATGCATTGTCAAAGTCCGGTCCGTCTGTCCGGAAGGGCATTTCTATTGTCCTCATAGCCCACGGCGTTAATGCGTAACCTTCGGAGCAAAGGTACCGAGTTCGATACTTGCTATCGGCCTTTACTTCCGACTTTTTTTTCCTTTCTTTTTTTTAACCTCAAAAATTTTGTATAATAACCGATACTATCGCTTTTGTAATGTAAACATTCAATTTGAAAGTCACAAATTTGCATAAATTAGAACAACTGCCATTGATATTAAACATTTCAGCTTAATATGGTAATTCCATTATGATATTTGCGTGCTTAATTTTGGTAAGTTTCCAGCCAATTGCAATACCGTAAAATTCCGAAAATAAGCCCCGGGCTTATATTTTTCAAAGGCCCTTTTTGAGGAGCTTATTTTTGGAGGGTCTTATATTCGGAGGGGCTTATGTACGGAGGGAAAATTGCGTTTCAAAATCGATTGGGCTACCTTATAGTTGGAAGGAAATGTACCGTTTTTGCTTTGTTTTAATTTGTATTTGAGGGCAATTTCCAAGTACAAGACCACCAGGGGGCTTATATTCTGAGGGGCGATGTAACGGAGGATTTTTTGCGTTAAGAGTTTGGGAGGCTTATATTTGGAGGGGCTTATTTTCGGAATTTTACGGTATTATTACCTGCACCATATCTGAAAAAGTTAAGACTATCCCCGTGGCCACCGAACCAATCTTAAAAGTTGCTAGCCTGCGTGGCTGGCGGGATTCCTTTGCCCGGGGTCCCACTAATCCCGCCAGCTACGCAGGTCTAACACGGTAGCCTGCGTGTACCAGGCGCTTGGAAGTAATATGGGGTTTTCCATTGCATTGCGCGCGCACCCCGTTCTCTGACGACTTTCTCACACTTTCCAAGCAGGCCACGTGTTAAAAGACTTGTATCACGTGTCTAAAAAAGTATGCGTGCAGACTAAAATGTGACTGCCGTGACGTGGTTTTTATTGGACATTAATGGTTACTGGGGTACAGACCACACAATGTCAGTAAGGATCAGTAAGCGCATGTCCTCTCAGGGGACTATTTTTCAGTTTCCGCATCGGATCCTTTCGAGTCTCCCTCGCAACCAATTATTATCTCGTCACGCAACGCTCCTCACCGTTGCGTGACGCAGCAAAAAACGGCTTTTGGGGAGACCAGAGCCCCTCTGAATTGAGCTCCAACTTTATTATCCTCCCACTTTTGAATAAATCCAACCTAGCGAATTGATATAATAGTCAAAAAAGTTAAAAACTTGGCGTCGCTGTGCCTGTATCGTAAGCTCTCTCGCCTTTTTGCACTACTTCTCCGCGTTGTCTAATTGTGCATTTCTGTCCTATAGGTCGCGTTGGTTTCTCCATCTACCCAACAAATCAAACCCAGTGAAAAGATGCGACACATAATTTACCAGGTACCATTCAATCCTGACTTCCTTGACGATTGGTTACGACTCGAAATAGAAGGACGCAATTTGGAGTTGTTCACGAGAACGCCTAAGATAATAAACGGCTTGTGCGGAGGTGCTTTAAACAGTACGGACATGCTTGATGAACTAAAGAATTACGACTTGATCATTCACTTTGCTGTTATAAATTGCGCTTCTTTGGTCGGAGAATTCCTTGACATTCCAAGAGTGGAAATTTTTCCTTATCCGCCAAATATTATATTCAACGTTTACCACATGACCCCCATGCCTGTGTCCTACGTTCCACAGCTTAGCAAACCGGATTTCACTGACAAGATGACTTTTATACAACGGGTGTTAAATTTGGCAGCCTACTTTGTTGGCAAACTAGCCTTGAGTATTGTAACTGACAGAACAATGAATAATCTTAAGATCGAGTACAACGTTAAACCTGAAAGAAGTTTTCAAGAAGCTGCTGGTGACGCAGAACTAGTGCTAATTACTGCAGACTTCGCACTGGAGTATCCACTGCCTCTCTTACCAGGTATTCAAAAAATGATTATGATTAATAACCAACGAGGAAACTCTATTTGGCGCTACGCCCTCCCCATCCCCCCTCAAATTTAAGACCACAAAAGTAATAGAAAAGACATCGCAAGTAATAAAAAATCGAGTAACACAGATTAATGCATTTGGTGATCATGAACTTGCACGTGCCGCCACACAATACTGGTTTTGATTTTCCAACTAAGGTCACGGATACAATAAATTAGCTGCCTTTAAGGCAGGTGATAAAAAAAAGCTGACGTTGAAGCGCCATCCTTTCGTCATTCATATTTTGTTTTTATTTAACAGGTCAAGTTATGGTTGGACCATTGAGTGTCCATGATGCTAAGGCTATCCCCCCTGATTTGGAGGAATTTATTAGCAGTTCAGGGGGGCAAGGTTTTATCATCGCTTCCTTCGGAACGAACGTCGCTTCTCCTCTGTCTGAAGCGGAAGTGGACTTGTTAGCTTTAGTGTTTGGGAAACTTAAGCAACGAGTTGTGTGGAGACTCAAAGGTACTGTCACTAATAAAAGGAAATTAAATACTTCATTGTTAAGTCGTCCGCTCTCAAGAGGGATTGTTAAAGATCCCAGATTTAAAGTGGAAGCAAATGAAAGTCCTGACCAAAAATTTTCAGATTCGTGGCCATAGAAAAGATTTCATCCACAGACTCCAAAGTTAGAACCACCTTGTACAGCATAACAAACAGCACCACAGGAAAGTACTGCTCAGTAGCTTTCATTTGAATGGTCACACCATAGGATTTCATCCACAGAACCACCTTGTACAACATAATAAACAGTACCACAAGAAAGTACTGCTCAGTAGCTTTCATTTGAATGGTCACACCATAGGATTTCATCCACAGACTCAAAAGTTAGAACCACCTAGTACAGCATAATAAACAGTACCACAGGAAAGTACTGCTCAGTAGCTTTCATTTGAATGGTCACAACATAAGTTTTAATCCATAGTTTCAATGAAAAGCTTCGATAAGTTAGAACGTCGTTACGTCTTCGCGATAATTGACCATGGGAGTGAATTAAGGTTTCTGGATCACCCAAATAGCCAGGTTCACAAAAGACCTTAGATTGCCGGGTTTCATATTGATATCAGATGAAACTTCATATCAACTCTTTCAGGTTACGTACCTACATTTCTCAGTTCAAACATCAAAGTAGTGGACTGGTTACCTCAGAATGATCTTCTTGGTCACAAGGACATCAAAGCTTTTGTGACTCATGTAGGACACAACAGCCTTTATGAGTCTGCATATCATGGGGTTCCTGTGGTAGCTATTCCATTGTTCGCAGATCAGTTTGCGAATGCCAAAAAGGCGGAACACTTTGGCCTTGGTTTGACAGTGAATCATAAAAGTACTACCCTGCAACAACTTGTTGAAACAATCGAACTGGTCGTAAGAGAACCAAGGTGATTTCTGGTTTCAGTTTCTTCTACTGTATAAGTGTTTTTAAGTGCAAAACGGTTTATTTTTTTTTCGAAATCGTGATTCGCTAACTAGGGCCAACATGCCCTCGTAGTTTGAACCGAGTGAGACTAGAAACTAACCATCTCTCCCAGTCTCCACGTTTTCAGAGCGACGCACGTCCACCGGAAGTGGACTTTTTGCACTATTCCGCTGTGATTTTGACCAAATTCTTCGGCAAATCGTCTCTTTAAGAGTAAAGACACTAAGAAATACAAATTTGGTCGCGTCAAGGCGTATTAAAAGAGAAAAAGTCTCACTTCCGGTTTACATGCCTGGCTCAGAAACGTCGCTTGCTTACCGGCTCCCTAATACCAACGCAAAATTAGGGCTGTTTTGCAGCTAACTGCTCGAGTGTCAAAGTACGTCAAAATCAAGTGTGGTAACCTCGTCCCTAGGGTCTTTCCCTCAAAAATTCCTGGAGACGTGGTTGATTAGCGTGGTTGTATTTTCCAGATTCAAGCAGAGTGCCATGCGCATCTCCAGTCTGTTAAAAGATCGTCGACGCTCCCCTCTTCAAGAGACTTGTGATTGGATGGAGTATGTACTCAGACATGGTGGAGCCCGGCATCTCAGAGCTCAAGTGTTTAACATCCCTTGGTACCAGTACTACTTACTTGACGTCATAGCTTTTCTTGTTGCCATGGTGACCTTTGTTGTCATGGTGATAAGGTTGATATGTAGCTGCCTATATCGTTTTTGCTGCAAGAAGGACAGCAACAAAAGCAAGGCAAAGGAGGAATGAACACATGAAACGAAAACCAGTTCGGTAGTTGTACTGTCACTCAAAGAAAATTGAGCTCTTCAGTTGTTTTGTTTACTGCATTCAAGTCTTAGAATCCTATTCTCTTTTTAACCGGTGGAAAGCAAAGAATACTCTGCTTTTGTGTCTTGTTTTTTCTTTAAGCCCTAATATCTACATACAAATTCTCCAAACCGATCTCCCTACATTTCTTCTTTAAATAAGAAATTGTGGGAACTTGTAAAAAGATAAAAACATAATCATTCGATCTATTCTCAAAACGTTGTCTCTAGAATACATATTGATGTTGTGAGGAGAAAATAAACGTTGATCATTTCTAGCAAGTAAAGGGTTAATACCTGTGCTACAGCTGTACGAAGCGGAAATAACAAGTCGGGGCTTGAATTCATTAAGATCGATGGAAGTAAAAAGGACTTTTATATAGAGAGCTAATCTTTATTCAGTGGTGGATCCAGGGGGAGGGTTCGGAGGGTCTGGACCCCCCCCCCCCTACCTATCAGACCTGACGCTTGTTTGAGACTGAAATTTTTACATCGACAGGATCATATATCACTTTCTTACTAGCTGATTTTTTTAATGAAACGCGCCTTGCATTTTCCCATTAAACTAAATTCTAGGGATACTAAAAAATGTAATTTTTTTGAGTACCCTCCTATGATCTGTTCGCCTCTCCTAGAAAGCATTATTTCCCGTGCTTACGGCGACCGGCGTTCACAAATTGAGAAACATGTGGTCTTCTCTGTGAGAAGTAATTTACCCTCCAAATGTTCAACAGTCCTTTCTGAACCAAAGTTTGGACCACCCCCTCCCCCCAAATCAAAAATGACTTGGTTCACCACTTTCACATTAACCATAATACACCTTATTTTGTCCATTTTCATTTAACTCTCTTAAGAAATGCGCCTATAAACAAACATAAAGAGGGGGACAAAAGTTTTCTTTTCCAACTTTGCACCACTTTCTCACCTTCCAGTACCCTTTCCCCCAGCTCCCCGGTGTATCCGCTACTACAATGTGTGGGGATGGTTTGTATATTGGTTTTTGTCAAACCCACCCCTCTCCCTCGAAAATATCAAAACGAGTCGATGGGTTTGGTTTAGGTCGCTGTGGTTTCTCTGTTGAATATTTTAGGATGTCTGCACGCGGATTCGAGATCGAACAGAGTCGCAGATAAAAGTATTCACTCTAGAAGTCCTCTGGTTTGTCTTGTCCCACGGCAGGAAAGAATTTCCGAAGGTCAGGAGTGGTGATAGCGTGCGTGCTTTTTAATTTATTTTTCCCCAAGAAATGAAGGGTGGGTAAGCATGGGCCCAGGCTCCCGTTAATCCTCTGGCCTTGTCGTTTCAAACAAAAGTTAGTTTTACTTGTGAACAGCATGTTTCGCGCTGGAAGAAAATTTTATGCTGACTACTATTTGAGTTGATGCTGCGTTTGAATAGGTTCATCATATGAGTTCCTGACCAGCAAGCATGTTATTGTAAGTAGATTGATTTCAGTAATGTCACGCATTGCGCACCGTTACCTCTTTTAGTTACTGCATGACAACGTGCGTGACGCACCCCTAAGAATATCTGCGGGGGAGGATAGACAACGTGCACACAGGCACGCAAAATGGGGAGAGGAGCATTGCGAAGACCTACAAACACATATTCAGAAAGCTTTTATGGCATTATCGTGGTTGTTTTTGCTGATGCTGGGAGCCAGCTGTGTTTCATCGGCACGGATTGCTGGCTTTCATATGATTGGAGGCTCACAGTATATTAATACAAAGCTTGTACTTGAAGAATTGGCTTCGAGAGGCCATGAGGTATTTTAAACAAATAGCCTTTAATACTGACAGATCATTCTACTGCCCAAAAAGAACCGATCACGGCTACCCTTAAGACTCGTTGAACTTATTTAATGAATATGCCATCCTTGATAATTGTTATATCTTTATAGCATCATACAGTACTTGACATTTGCCGAGAACCCTGAAGCGTCATCGATCCTTCTTATCGAGGTTAAATAGATGACCAAGTTCGCTGAAAAAAGCTGTTCAGCGCCTTCACAGGTCATATTCCACGGGTCAAAAAACTTGTCATCATGTAGCCTGCTAACAGGCTCTCCGGGGCCGCCGCCAGAGCTCCCTGGAGAGCTTACTAGAAGGCTAGCCACAGGATACAAATGTAAAGACAGGGTAAAAAGTGTCTTCTCGCCTCGGGTGGTAACCTGAATTTCATCCGATTACTTCGAGTCGAAAACGACTCGAAGCAATCGGATGAATTACTCGAAAAAATTTTGAACAGGTGAGGCTCCGTCTCGAGGTCCATTCCTTAACCCTATTATATACCATTTTACACAGAAAAGGTACCCTTTTGGGTGGAGTCCCCCGTATAGGCCATAAAACTGGAGTACCAACCCCCCAGGGGCTTCTGGTCCACAGAACAAAAAATGCCACATGTACCTCATAGACATTATGAAATGTATCAGATTGATGCAAAAAGGGTTAAAATTGGCCTTCTTGCGTCGCCTATCAAGAGATCAGATTTACTATGAAATATTCAAAAAGAATATTATTATGTACTACCTTCAGTTGAGTTGAATCTTCTATAATTCCGATGTTAGGTCACATTGGTCGTTCCATCTTCCCAAAAAATTAAACCAAGTGAAAAAGTGCCTCACAAGATTTACCAGGTTCCATACCAACCCAACTGGATTGAAGACTTGATGAATAAGTACCTACTACAAGGACACCAGTTTCAATACATGTTTAAATTTATGGAAACACTGGTTGGTCTGTGCGAGGCTGCTCTTAACAGCTCAGAGGTTCTTGAACAACTAAGAGGTTTTTACTTGATCATCTATGACAACTTAGCATTCTGTGGTCCATTAATTGGTGAACATCTTGGCCTCCAGAAAGTTGAGTTTTTGCCATTACCACCAAGTGGAGACCTGCTGCACAGGACACCCAGGCCAATCTCATATACTTCATATCTCTGGGTCGGGCTAACTGATAAAATGTCATTTTTTGAAAGATTGCTGAGCCTGGGAGCTTATATTGGTGGAGAAGTCATGGTTTATCGCGCAATTACAAGACCATTCAATACTCTTAAGGTGAAGTACAACATCAAACCCGATATAGACTTCAGAGATTCTGCTTGTGACACTCAACTCCTCATAATGACCGCAGATTTTGCAGTGGAGTATCCACAACCTTTATTGCCAGGTACATGTAGTCACAGAATGTTATTTGATGTACATTTTTAGCAAGATGACATTTTATATAAGGGGTTAGTCAGCATTTGTTATTTTCATTTACTAGGTATTTCTTTATGCGCAACACTAAGCGATACCTTTACCGGTAATTTAAGGGTGAAAATATTGGCATTCTGTCCAGGACGCCTTAAGTTACATGAAAATCTCTAATTTCTATCCCTACACAAGGTGTCAAGCATCCCCTTTTTTGTATGGAAGTCAAACCCCCCTACTCCTCAACCCCCCCCTGCCCTTATCGGCTCACAACAAGTTATCCGCACATTAGAATAATTTTTACACATCATCCACATTTGCAGACCAAGTCATGGTTGGACCTCTGACTGTCAAAGAAGCTAAACCTCTCCCCCCTGATTTAGAGGAATTTGTGTCAAGTTCAGGGGGGAATGGTTTCATCGTTGTTTCCTTTGGATCAAATGTTGGTACACTCTCTCAGGCTACAGTAGACACATTAGCTGAAGCTTTTGGAAAGCTCAAACAGCAAGTTGTTTGGAAACTTCAAGGTAATTAATTATGCCAAACTCGTTACATCTAATTAAGGCATTAACTCCATAAAACTCTGTGGCAGTTTCAGATCATGACATTCTTTCATTCACAGGTTACATCCCTCCTTCTGTCAGTCCAAACATCAAAATAGTGAAGTGGTTACCTCAGATTGATCTTCTGGGTCACAAGGACATCAAAGCATTTGTCTCCCATGCAGGACACAACAGTGTGTACGAGTCTACGTATCATGGGGTTCCTTTGGTGGCCTTTCCTTTGTTTTCAGATCAACCGGCTAACGCAAAGAAAATTACACACCTTGGGTTGGGTCTGAGGGTGGATCATCAAAACTTTACTGCACAAGAAATGTTTGAGAAGATTGAGCTTGTCATTAAAGAGCCAAGGTATTTGTTCTTCCTCTTTTTCTGTGTACTAAAACTCAGTTTCCTCAGCACAGAGCTAGGTCGCTAAACGGGCACATGGTCGCAGAAGGGTCCGTATTATCCAGGGCCTGGTTTCTGAAAGGCCGATAAGCGTTATTCCAGGATTAAAATTTTGTTCCGTTTTTGTATTTTTCCTTCCTATGTTTTGCTTAGAGTAACATTTTGTGTTATCATTACTGTATCTCTGAGTAAAGGCTCAACAGTCTTTCGTTAGCTCAAGTTGCATGTTCTTAGACAAGAAAACCTTGTTTAAGATTTGGCTTAATCCTGAGTTAAACTTAACCATCTTTCGAGGAACCGGGCCCCCAGATCGTTACTGGAGACGCGTTGTTCAACTATTGGCCAATTTTCTCCCTGTCCTATTACCAGAATCCTGTGCAAAAGTTTACTTGGTCCAGTTTTCTTCTCTTTTCTAAAGTGGCGAATGTTTTTTGGCCAAAACTGGTGCGGAATTATCAGTTGTTGTTTTTGTTTTGTTTTGTTTTGTTTTTTAGATTCAAAGCCAAAGCGATACATATTTCTGGTCTGATAAAAGACCGTAAACGCACGCCTCTTCAAGAGACTGGTGATTGGATAGAGTATGTACTCAGACACGGTGGAGCTCGTCATCTCAGAGCTCAAGTGTTTAACATCCCTTGGTATCAGTACTACCTTCTTGACGTCATAGCTTTCCTTGTTGCCATGGTGACCTTTGTTGTCATGGTGATCAGGTTGGCATGTCACTGCATATGTCGTTTGTGCTGTAAGAAGGACAGCGACAAGGCCAAGAAGGAATGATAGTCTTAAGAAATCCCGTTGTCTTTCTCGCCGGCGACAGTACTGAATAGTCTGTTCTCGTTTCTTCTTGTTTTTCTTTAATACACTCGCGCAACGAAGCGGGGACAACAGGTAGCTACAGGTCGGGCTCAAAGTCATTAAGATCCACAGAAGTGAAAAGGACGTTTCGCTAGAGGACTTCTTTTAATCTGAGGCGAAATACTGTAGATGCCATAAAGGGAACATTCTGCTTGGGTTAAGTAAACCGACGCCAGCAGGAAAGTAGAGGATTATTTTCGGGAGAGGCTCCTCTTTTCAGAAGTATCTCTCACTTCAGGTCTATATCCTTCCCTTAGGGAGATACTGAAAGGTTTTTTTTTCTGTGTCACCTGCATTCCGGCCGAACCCTTGTGAAGCCAATTCAATACCCTGTTCAGGTTCATTAACGAAACCCATTTATTCTAGAGTGTCCCTACGTTAGGCCAAAAAAAAATCCAGACTAACTATATCCGGCTTTACCTATAGGAGGCGATTAGTCGGTTCGTGACGTCTTTCTCAGCTCTTGAAGAATGTCACATACACGATTATAGCCTACGTGTCGGAGAAAACGTTTTCCCAATGTTTTCGGGTGGAAAAAGAACGCCTGCCCAAATGTTTATGAAAGAATCCCCCGAGGGGTTTATTTTTTTCTAGCCATATATAGTGTATAAAAACTGAAGAGGACAACCCTTGATTATCCGTTCAATGAAGCACTGATGAAGGATGCTAAAACAGGGGCGGATCTAGGGGGAGGGTGCAGGGGGTGCGCACCCCCCCTGAGATGACCTGCGGTTTTCTAATACAACTGGTATCCTGCAAAAAAAAAACTATGTGGTTTATTGGTGTTGAAGTAGAGCAAGAGACGAGTGCACCCCCTCCTAAAAAATCCGGGAACCGCCCCTGTAAAAGCCAACATCGTCCTAAACTTTGAGTTAATGCATTTGTATATCGTCCTTTTCAAAGCATTTTGTTGATTCCTAGTGAATAGACTGCTTGCAGTCCGCCTTTTCTCTTAAAATCCGTCTATTTCTTATCTAATCCAGCGCGATTGCAAATTTAGGGATTGAGACGGCAGTAACTTTGCAAAGAAAAATAAGAGACTGCTGGCAGTCTACCCATTGAAAGGTTAATGTAACAAAGAGAAATAATGATAAACAATTAATTATTGTTAATTATTCATGATTATTGTTTTCTGCGACCAAAAACGAGCAGCTCCTACATTACTGGTAACAAATCAAATCCAGTCGTAGCAGTATGGGCTGAGAGCGTGGGGATTTTTTTTCTTGCAGGCTAGCATGGCTAATGTCTGTATATTAAACTGAAAAGAAAAAACAAAAAAACAACATCATTCTGTAGTGGAGTATGGTCTCCTTGTCAAAGAAAGCCTAAATCACGTCCAAAATGGAGTGAGTTTTTAAAATGCTATTTTTTGGACGAGCTTCTACGTCCCCGTATGGGAGTCCCCGCCCCCCGTCCCCCGGCCTCTCCTGGGATTGTGTCCCAGCCAAGGATTACGTGACGCAGTAGGTAAAAAGAAAGGGACGCGAAGTGCAAAGCTTGACATGCTACTGAAGATGGTGGTGTTATCTTTACTTTTGCTGTTATTGGCAGTTAATACTGCTTCGTTGGCAAAGATAGCTGGTTTTGCAGCAGTTGGAGGGTCTGGATACATCAACATGAGAAATATCATGGAAGAACTGGCCTCTCGCGGCCATGAGGTACACTAATACAGAATATATATGTCGTGGTTCAATTTTATCCTTGGTTTAAATTTTATTTTTCATTGTTTCAATTATCATGCATTACCCTACCCAAAAACAAAGGGAAATAAAATTTAAACCAAGGACAATATTGAACCCCAACATATACATTAAACTCTCTAAGTAAGCTGACACCTTGTACTATATTTAAAAGACGCGAGCCTCAGAAAAAACGTTATTTCCTGTATCAAACGGACACCTAACGTCCGTCTCGTGGGAGCTCGCTGGCTCATATGTCGAAATCAAATCACAAATGCCTTCGAAGTTTTAACTTGATTAGGCAGCGATGCACGCTTAGAGGTAGAAGTTAAATCTTGTTGTCGTGACTGACCCATAGCGAAGGCAACTCATTAAATATTTGAAATTATTATTAAAAAGTGACGGATTTCACATTGTAATAAAACTCGATATTGCCCAGTTCTTTTTTTGCTAGTCAGCATTTTCAGCATAGATCTTTCACTGCACAAAAATAATTATTCAAACAGCTCAAATGACAGTGAAATGATGTTTTTGCTACCTATTGTGCCGGGGCGGCCGCGCGATTCAGTGTAAAAGTTGACTGCGGACTGTGGACTGTGGACTGTGGATTGCGGACTACGGATTGCTGACTAGGTATAACACGACATCTAGATTTTGGCAGTATTTCGGGCTTGAGAGGAAATTTAAAACGGGATAAAAGGATTGCAAGTGAATTTTAGGGACTGAGGGAAAATTTTAGACGGACGGAGGAAAACGTTCGCCAAGCAGTTATACACTGTGAGACGTGTTCAGTCTGAACCTTTTTATAGCGATGTTTTTCAAAGATGCTGATGCCATTTTGCACATGCTTTTAGTATTAGCATTGAAAATTTTGAGGTTGCACGGAAGACTGGGGGGGGGGGGGGGGTCAGGCCACTTAGGCATGACTATCTAATTAGATATGCATATTTTGATGAAATGCTATTTAGAACGATTTGCTTCTATCAATGATCTTCAAAATTGGACTACTAATGTAGTTTAATGGCCTTAGCAATACTGAGACATTTTAAAAGCTCAAACTTTTGTCACGTGACTTATAATTAAGAATTAACGGTCAAAATATCTATTCTAAAATGGCGAAATGATAACAGGTTCTTTTAGGTATATTTCAGAGGCTATTGAAAAGGTTCTGAAAAATTCGCTTTGTAAGTGTTTACGTTATATAGGAATAGGTAAATAAAGGGAAAAGGGTCACGTGACTTGTTAATTATTTAAATATCTAATAGGATAAATAACATTTCCAATCATACAGGAGCAATTTACGATTTACACTGTTTATGTAACATTTTGGTAGTGAAAATTCCCAAGATTAAGGTTTGCAACCCTTCCCCGTTTACGAAAAACGTGTTTTGTGTCGTCATTGACGAAACAATGTCACGTGTTATTTGAAATCACGTTTTACGTGTTTTTTTTTAATTATTATTATTCCGTGTTTTCACTCACGCGGTCAGCTTCTATTTATTATTTATTTATTTATTGGAACAAAAGAAAGCGTTTACATAAGAAAAGAATTCAACTCCACAGGACTGGTTTGGGACACAAACATGGCCGCCGTTTCATTGTTTTGGGACCAAATTTCGCCATGTTTTGGGAAACAAAATTGGCCATTTGCCTTTTGACGTCACTGATGGAATCAAACCGGTTAAAATAGCATTTAACAAAATATTCATATTTAATTAGGTAGTCATGTCCTGAGTGGTCTGATGCTGGGCAAACAAGTTGTATTATGGGAGGGAGGTCAGGAGAGGTCGTGCAGATGCAATCGGTATTAGTGTTAGTCACTACCGTGTGCATTATATAGGTACTATAGTGACGAAGAGGGGCAAAGGCCGTTTAATGGGTTTAAAAACTGCGATCCAAAGAGTGTTTTTTTTAGCCAGCAATTTGGCGTTATTCGCGCCTTCCCTTCAATATTGTACCTAATCTCGTGTCCAAAGGACCTGCTTGGTCACGCGCTACTTATCGGAACGTTCTAGATGCTGTGGGAAGGAGACTGTATTTTACTTGTTTTGTTTTGCTGTATTATCTATATCTTAGGTCGTGCTCGTTGTTCCATCCTCCCGTAAGTTGAAACCAACTGATAGATTATCACTCAAGAGCCACAAGATTTACCAAGTACCATACAAACCTGGCTTCGAGGAGGAGATGATTCGGCTTGATATAGAGGGACGCACTTTTCAGTTCTTCATGAAAATGAATGAAGTATTGTCTACGTTATGCGAAAGCGTCTTGAACAGCACGGAAATCCTGAAGGAACTAGAGGGTTTCGACTTGATTATTTATGACGGCATCAGCAATGGTGCTGTATTGATCGGAGAGAAGTTCGATATTCCAAGGGTGGAGATACTGCCCGACCCACCAAATGTCCCATTTGGCGGGTTCGCCCATATGATTCCGATGCCGGTGTCGTACGTTCCCCAGCTTATCACCGAATTTTCTAACGAGATGACATTTGTGGAGAGAGTACTCAATTTAGGAGCATATTTGGTCTCTAAACTCGGAGTTAGTCTCCTCAGCTACAGAAAAATGGACGCCTTAAAGGTTAAATACAATATTAAACCTGAAAGAAGCTTCGAAGAAGCTCTTGCGGATGCCGAAATGGTTATTATCGGAGCCGATTTTGCCGTGGAATATCCACAACCTCTTCTGCCAGGTATGACAGCTTATACGAAAAGCCTAAAGGAATTTATCGTTAACCTAAGCCTAGGAGCCAGCGCTAAATGTTGTTCAAGTGCTCCTCAGGAATTTTTTTCTCCCCTAAATTGAAGAGTACTAGAATGTCGCTTTCTGGGCGTGGCTTAAACTCGTTTTAACCCCTCCAAAAATTTTTTGAGGAACATAAGTTCCGCCAGTTTTTGGCTTAATTCCCTAAACAGCCTGCTTAGCAGGCGCTATTCTCGTTCTTCTGACCAAAGGGATCGCGGTCTCTGGGACAAGAACTGCCAGACCGGGTGAAAGAGACATTTTGGAGGTTAACCCCATATTTCTTATGCAGCTACCACAAAATCTATACCCTAAAGGACCGCCCACCCCTTTCTTAAAGTCCCAACGACAGATCGAACGGCAGAAAACTGAGCTGGGAGAAATTACATAAATTACCTCGCTTGTGATATTACAGCGCATAACGAATGCAGGAATAAAGAAATGACTTAAGTCGATAACGGAAACGGCTTAGGAATGATACTGTCAAAGAATCAGTTCATCCATAAACACGGGCACCCACCGACGGTTTCCTCCTAAATGCATTGAAAATACTTTTTAGGCTATCCAGAGTACTTCTAGATCTCTAGCAATGAATTCTAAGCGGCGCTATAAAATTTACATCTGTTCGGTCATCCTAGGGGAACTTGAGTCTTTTCGAAATTACGAGGGTCTCAGTATTATTTTCTCGAAAATTTCACATGCAACTTTAAGTTTTACGAAAGTGAAAATTTGTCTGATCCCTCTCTCCATGGCATTTTCGAACCCGAAAATTTTAGGTTTCCTTTTTCTGTAAAAAAAAATAGTGTAACCTGGGGACTGAAATGCGAAAAATTGAACTTTAGAAAATCGTAAGGAATTTATTTGATATGCTTCGAAAATTGTACACAAATGGAACGGTCATCTAGAAATTTTTAGCCTTCCTCAAGCTATAGAAAATTGTAGGGAATTTTTACTTCTCCAAACAGATATTTTACAGAAAACAGTCGTTGGCCGGTGCTTCTGAATAAAGTCTATGGATTGTAATACGCTTAACCTGGTTTGACTTTATTAATACTAAACTGATGATTACGAACTGGTCTTTTTTGTTAGGTCAAGTCATGGTTGGGGCTCTCAATGTCAAAACAGCCAAGCCTCTTCCCCCAGAGTTGGAGAAATTTGTAAGTGCCTCAAGAGAGCATGGCTTCATTATCGTTTCCTTTGGAACCAACGTGGCTTCTCTTCCCAAAGCGGAAGTGGATATGCTCGCTGAAGCGTTTGGAAAGTTGAAACAAAGAGTTGTTTGGAAAGTCAAAGGTAATCATGGAATGACGTCATATATATAGTTTGTAACTTTTTGTAAACTGGGGCTTCGTCAACGGGTAGGATTTAATAATAATAATAATAATAATAATAATAATAATAATAATAACGATGATGATGATGATGATGATTAAGAGGTAGCACATCCACAAAGTGGTTCTTCGTCTACCTGATTCCTGGTCGAATTGGAATTTGGAAATGTTGGTTTTTCAAGGGAAGTGAAAACCGGAATACCCGGACCAAAACCTATCGGAGCAAAGGAGAGAACTAACAACAAACTCAACCAAATGACGAATGGCGTCAACGCCGGGATTTGAACCCGGGCCACATTGGTGGGAGGCGCCAGCGCTCTCACTACTACGCCATCCCTTGCTCGGCTCACGTGAGATTTCACGCGATGAGGTTTAGAATATGGTAGGGAAAATAATGATTTAATGGGTGATTGCAAGGTCAGTGCGCTGAAAGTCATTACTGCAAGTCGGTACGCAGTACTAGACAAATTAAGGGGCTAGCGTTCGACACGTCACGTTTTCAAGAGTTTCTTTGCATCTCCTCTGCACCTTACAAACCTCAGCCCTATTAGACAACGATAACGGTGTTTAGAAACTAACTCCTTCAACCCTGATTTCCGAATCAAATCAGGATGACTCTATTCTTTTGCAGGTTACATACCTTCTTCCCTGAGCCCAAACATCAAAGCACTGGAGTGGTTACCTCAGAATGATCTTCTGGGTCACAAGAACATTAAGGCGTTTGTGTCTCATGTAGGACACAATAGTCTTTACGAGTCCGCGTATCATGGGGTCCCTGTGGTGGCGTTTCCTTTGTTTGGAGACCAGTACTCCAATGCAAAGAAAATAGCTCATCTTGGTCTTGGTTTATCTGTGCATCACCGAACTACTAGCGTGCAGCAGGTGGTTGAAACGATTGAAACTGTTGTTTCTGAACCACGGTATTTTGTCGTTTTTCTTTTCTCCCGTTAAGTTTACCAAGAATGTAAGGCCAAAGGAGCTTTTATACAGGGGAACTTCACGAAAGAGCATTTGAAAAAAAGGGGATGCAACGTATAGCACCAAGTAGAAAATTAATAACAGGGTGTTTTCACTCACACATGTGGTTATTGTCTATGCAAATGTATTGCGACAAAAGAAAGTGTTTACATAAGAAAAAGAGTTCAACTTCCACAGGACTAGTTTGCAACTCCAACATGGGAGCTCTCTTTTGGGAGACCAACATAGAGAACAGGACGCCATGTGACATGGCTCTATACTGTTGATTAGCGTTGATTTTAATATCCGTACTTTTCTTTTCATCATTTACGGGGTCAAAAATTTGGCCCAATATTCCTTCTCTCGTCTTTTGTTCATACCAGCATTTCCCTTGCGTCCGCCGACCTTCGCTTCATTCATGCCAATCCAAAGATTTTTTTTAATCCTCGATTAGTTCGACTACTTCTTTAGACTCTAATTCGAGTGTTTTTCACTTGCTCCTGGGCTAGGATTTAAAGTCGCCTGCACAATGACGCGACTCATTGCTCTTCTTGTTGTTGTTCTTTGAACGGGCCTCACAATTCTAGATTAAAGTAACCTGAATTTCATTAAACATTCGCCACGTAAGAAACGAGAAAAAAACTGGGCTGAACTAACTTTCGCAAAGACTTCTGGGACGGTTTTAGGGAGCGGGGAAAAACATTGGCCAATAGCTGACTGGCGCGTCCCCAGTAACAATCCCAGAAACAATTGCGGGACGCATCTCGGCTCCAGTTCCCCTCTCGTTTCTAAGGTGGTGAATGTTAACATACAATTGAACCCATCTGTCTTTTTTGTCCTTTTAGATTTAAATCCAATGCAATGCACATCTCCGGTCTGTTAAAAGATCGCCAACGCACTCCTCTTCAAGAAACTGCTGATTGGATAGAGTATGTACTCAGACATGGTGGAGCCCGGCATCTCAGAGCTCAAGTGCTTAACATCCCTTGGTATCAGTACTACCTACTTGATGTTATAGCTTCTCTTGTTGCTATGATAACCTTGGTTTTCATGGTGATAAGGTTGACTTGTAGCTGCATATGTCGTTTGTGCTGTAAGAAGGAGAGCGACAAAGCCAAGAAGGAATGATAGTCTTAAGAAATCCTGTTGTCTTTCTCGCCGGCAACAGTACTGAATAGTCTGTTCTCGTTAATTTCTTCTTGGTTTTCTTTAACACACTAGCGCCAGGAAGAGGCGACAACAGGTCGGGCTCGAAATCATTAAGATCCATAGAAGTGAAAAGGACGTTCCCTTGAGGACTTCTTTTAATCTGAGGCGAGATACTGTAGATGCCATAAAGGGAACATTCTCCTTGGATTAACTAAACCGAGGCCAGCAGGAAAATAGAGGATTATTTTCGAGAGTGGCTCCCCTTTGCAGAACGATCTCTTATTTCAGATTTATATTCTTTCCTTAGGGATATACTGCCCGGGGGGGGGGGGGCACTTGGGTATTTTTTGGGTGGGTATGTGCCGCCCGGGACTCCAAATTGGCACCCCGTTCTAAAAAAAATTTCCCCTAAAATTGATACCCCTTTCTAGAAATGGGCCAGTTTTTTATACCCCGTTCTAGAATTCGCCCTAAAACTGATACCCCGTTCTAGAAATGGGCCAATTTTTTATACTCCGTTCTAGGGTGCAACAAGAGTACAACAGTCTGCTTGTTAACGCACTGTACCGTATTTTTAACATGTTTAAAAGCAATCTGTCCTTGAATAATTTTAAATGGCTGCTTACAAAACTGGAGCTTTCGTGCGTTCGAAATATTATACCCCGTTCTAGAAAACGCCTATGAAATGGATACCCCGTTCTAAATCAGGAGCTTCAAAATCACGACCCCTTTGGGCGGCACATACTCGTATAGGTAATGTATGGGAGTTCCCCCCCCCCCGGGTATACTGTAAGGTGTTAATTGGGGAGGACTGTGTCACCGGCATCCTGGCCGAACCCTTGTGAACTCAATACCATGCCCTGTTCAGATTCAACAAGGAAACCCATTTGTTCTAGAGTGACTCTATAGGCTAGACCAAAAAAAATCCCAGTAAAGTATTCCAGAGTCCAGACTAACTATATCCGGCTTTACCTATAGGAGGCGATAACTCGATTCGTGACGTCTTTCTCGGCTCTTGAAGAATGTCACGTACGCGGTTAGAGCCTACGTGTCGGAGAAAACGTTTTCCCAATGTTTTTCAGTGGAAAAAGAACGTCTACCTTGATTGTTTATGAAAGAATCTGCCGAGCAGTTTATTTTTTTTAGCCATATATAGTGTATAAAAACTGAAGAGTATGGCGGCCAATATCGTCCTAAACCGTTGAGATGAGGCAGTTGTTTATCGTCCTTTTCAAAGAATTTTATTGATTCCTAGTGACTGGTTATTGTAACAAAGCGAAACAATGGGAAAATATGATGAACAATTATGTGTTATTGTTTTCTGCGACCAATAAAGAAACACCTTACGAGCAGCTGCTACATTACTGGTAACAAATCAAATCCAGTCGTAGCAGTATGGGTTGAGAGCGTGGGGATTGCAGGCTAGCATGGCTAATATCTGTCTGAAAAGAAAAAACAAAAAAACGACATCATTCAGTAGTGGAGTAAGGTCTTCTTGTCAAAGAAAGCCTAAATCACGTCCAAAATGGGCTGAGTTTTTAAAACGCTATTTTTTGGACGAGCTTCTACGTCCCCGTATGGGAGGCCCCCGCCCCCCGCCCCCGGCCTCTCCTGGGATTGTGTCCCAGCCAAGGATTACGTGACGTAGGTAAAAAGAAAGGGACGCGAAGTGCAAAGCTTGACATGCTAACGAAGATGGTGATGTTATCTTTACTTTTGCTGTTATTGGCAGTTAATTCTGCTTCATCGGCCAAGGTAGCCGGTTTTGTAGCAATTGGAGGGTCTGGATACATTAACATGAGACATATCATGGAAGAACTGGCCTCTCGCGGCCGCGAGGTACGCTAACAATATACATGCTGAATACATGCATCACACTCTCTAACTGAGCTGACAACTTGTACTGTATTTAAAGGACGCAAACCTCAGAAAAAAACCTGATTTTCTGTTAAACAACACCTAACAAGGGTCTCGTGGATAGATTGCTGATCTTTCAACCAGCGAGCTCATATGTCGAAATCAAATCACAAATGCCTTCGAAGTTTTAACTTGATTAGGCAGAGGTGCGCGCTTACAGGTAGAAGTTAAATTTTGAGAACTTTTGTAATCAAAATGTGCTGTTATTTTCCAAAACATTTACGATTTTTGAAAATTTTGTTGTCGTGACTGACCCATCGCGAGGGCAACTCATTAAATATTCGAGAGATAAAAGTTGATTTTTGAATTTATTATTAAAAAGTGACGGATTTCACATTGTAAACTCGATATTGCCCAGTTCTTTTTTGCTAGTCAGCTTTTTCAGCACAGATCTTTCACTGCACAAAAATAATGAAACAGCCAGCCCAAATGATGCTTGTGCTAAAAATGATTAGTCATGGTGATTTTAAAAGGCCGGGGCGGCCGTGCCATTCAGTGTAAAGGGAGGACTGCGGACTGCGGACTGCGGACTACGGATTGCTGACTGGGTGAAAACACGACGTCTAGATTTTAGCAGCATTTCGGGATTAAGGGGAAATTTAAAACGGGATAAAAGGATTGGAAGTGAATGTTAGGGACTGAGGGAAAATTTTAGACGGACCGAGGAAAACGTTCAAGCAGTTACATACTGTGAGACGTGTTCAGTCTGAACCTTTTTATAGCGATGTTTTTCGAAGATGCTGATGCCATTTTGCACATGCTGTTAGTATTAGCATTGGACGTCTAGATTTTGGCAGCATTTCGGGATTAAGGGGAAATTTAAAACGGGATAAAAGGATTGCAAGTGGATGTTAGGGACTGAGGGAAAATTTTAGACGGACTGAGGAAAACGTTCGCCAAGCAGTTGCATACTGTGAGACGTGTTCAGTCTGAACCTTTTTATAGCGATGTTTTTCTAAGATGCTGATGCCATTTTGCACATGCTGTTAGTATTAGCATTGGACATTTTGAGGTTGCACGGAAGACTCGGGGGGGGGGGGGGAGGGTGGCAAACAAGTTGTATCATGGGAGATGAGCAAATGATGAATACAAGTATTGTGTTAGGTCAGGAGTGGTCATGTGCCCTAATGCAAATGATAATCAGGAGGTATTCGGTGTTAGTCACTACCGTGTGTATAATATAGGTATACGTACAATATATTTTTTTGAATTTAAAAACTGCGATCAAAAGAGGGTTTTTTAGCCAGCAATTTGGCGTTATTCGCACCTTCCCTTCAATGGGAAGGCTGATTTAGCACCAGAACGGGAACGTCAGTTGACGACGGCGCGCGCAAATTAAAGAACTGGCTTGACCAATAGCAGAGCGGCAAATTGGGCACCGGAAGTCGTGTTTAGTCCTTTCCGCGCGCTTTCCTGTCGTCTACTGACGTTCCCGCCCGGTTGCTAAATCAGCCTATTGTACCCAATCTCGTGTCCAAAGGACCTTCTTGGTCACGCGCTACTTATCGGAACGTTCTAGATGCTGTGGGAAGGACATTGTATTTTACTTGTTTTCTTTTGCTGTATTATCTATATCCTAGGTCGCGCTTGTTGCTCCATCCTCCCGTAAATTGAAACCGACTGATAGATTGCCACTCAAGAGCCACATGATTTACCAAGTACCATACAAACCCGGCTTCGAAGAAGAGACGATTCGGCTCGATTTAGAGGGACGCACTTTTCAGTTCTTTCTGAAAATGAATGAAGTAATGTCTACGTTATGCGAAAGCGTCTTGAACAGCACGGAGATCTTCAAGGAACTGGAGGGTTTCGACTTGATTATTTATGACAGCATCAGCAATGGTGGTGTATTGATCGGAGAGAAGTTAGATATTCCAAGGGTGGAGATACTGCCCGCACCACCAAATGTCCCATTTGCGTTCGCCCATATGATTCCGATGCCGGTGTCGTACGTTCCCCAGCTTATTACCGGGTTTTCTGACGAGATGACATTTTTGGAAAGAGTACTCAATTTAGGAACATATTTGGTCATTAAACTCGCTTTTAGTCTCGTCAGCTACAGAAAAATGGACGCTTTAAAGGTTAAATACAACATTAAACCTGAAAGAAGCTTCCAGGAGGCTCTTGCGGATGCCGAAATGGTTATTATCGGAGCAGATTTTGCCGTGGAATATCCACAACCTCTTCTGCCAGGTATGACAGCTTATGCGAAAAGCCTAAAGGAACTTCATCATTAACCTAAGTCCAGGAGACAGCGCTAAACGTTGTTCAAGTGCTCTTCTGGAAAAAATTTTCCCCCAAATTAATGGGTACTAGAATGTCGCTTTCTGGGCGCGGCTTAAACTCGTTTTAACGCCTTAAAGAATTTTTTGAGGAACATAGTTTCCGCCAGTTTTTGGGTTAATTCCCTAATCAGCCTGCTTAGCGGGCGCGATTCTCGTTCTTCTGACCAAAAGGATCGCGGCCTCTGGGACAAGAACTGCAGAACGGGTGAAAGAGAAATTCAGGCTCGCCCAATATTTCTTCAGGGGCACCCAACGAGGATATAGTTCAAAACCACTTAACGTAGCATTGTTGAACGTATTTTAGTATTCAAACGGTGGATATAGGCATATATTTTTATCCCCTAAAAACCTTTTCATCTGTTCGGATTTCCTAGCTGAAAGTCTAGTGATCCGAAAATTATAGGGATAAAAACCTTCTCGACCTTCTCAGGAAAATTTCAGCCTTTTAGGGTAAAAAAAGGTTAAAAATGGGTAATTATACCATTTTGTAGATGTTCGAAAATTCTAGGTGGCATTTTTCGAATAAGGTCGAAAAAATCCGTTAAAATCCTAAAGGGGTTAATAATTATACCCCCATTTTCTAGATGTTTGAGTGAAAAATCCTAGGAGACTTCCCCGAGGAGGAGTCTTCTTCAGGCAGAAACCTTTCTTTGTTACTTCTTCGCGTTTTGTTAAGATTTATTGTTTTGTTACAAAATAAAAATACTTCTGAAAACGATGAAAATTCTAGATCTCAAATCGTCTTCCGAACAAATATTTTAAGCGCCCAGGGTGGTTAATCGAATAAAAAATTGCCTTTAGATCTCAAATCGTCTTCCGAACAGATATTTTGCGAACATACCGTTTGAAATCTATGCCCTAAAAGACCGCCCACCCCTTTCTTAAAGTCCCAACGACAGATCGAAAGGGAAAAAACTGAGCTGGGAGAAATTACATAAATTACCTCGCTTGTGATATTAGTATGTGTAATCAAATGGTGACGAGTGAAATTAGGGAATAATTTCACGCGCGTTTTGTCGAAGGCGAGGGAAATTATTAGGATTTGGACAAAACGCAAGTGAAATTATTCCCTAATTTCACGAGTATACCATTTGATTACCTATTAATATCATGGGTGACGAATTACGTTAGCTATCTTTGATTTTTGACATGTTTATCCTGGATCGTATCGATGGAGAACTCCACTCTCTCAAATGTTTAGACCTTAAATTTGGCTTATAAAGTTCAGAATTTTTCAGACTTTTTCGGCAAAATACCTGTTAGAATCCTTCTTGATGTTCTCTTGTGTGTTCAGGTTTTCTAAAGCGTCTTTTTGTGCCCTGACATCCTCATTCACGGCATTTTAAAACTTCGTCGGAAGGGTTGCCATGACAATTTTGTAATTTCACATGTGAAATTACAAATGAACGCTGAAATTTCGCGCCAAAATTAAGTAGTAATTCGTCACCTATGATATTACAGCGCATAACGAACGCAGGAATAAAGAAATGAAGTCGATATTGGAAACGGCTGAGGAATGATTTTGTCAAAGAATCAATTCTTCAATAAAGTCTATGGGTTGTAATACGCTTAATCCGATATGACTGTATTAATACTAAACTGATGATTACGGACTGGTCTTTTTGTTAGGTCAAGTCATGGTTGGGGCTCTGAATGTCAAAACAGCCAAGCCTCTTCCCCCAGAGTTAGAGAAATTTGTAAGTGCCTCAGGAGAGCGTGGCTTCATTATCGTTTCCTTTGGAACCAACGTGGCTTCTCTTCCCAAAGTGGAGGTGGATATGCTCGCTGAAGCATTTGGAAAGTTGAAACAAAGAGTTGTTTGGAGAGTCAAAGGTAATCACGGAGTGACTACATATATATAGTTTGCACTTATCATTTTTTCAAACTGGGGATGTGTAAACGGGTGGAGCTTTTATGTGATGAGGTATAGAATATGGTAGAAAAAATAATGATTTAATAGGTGATTGGAAGGTCAGTGCTCCGAAAGTCATTACTGCAAGCCGGTACGTAGTACTAGACAAATTGGGAGCTTTAGCATCGACGACAGCGACGGCAGCAAAAACGTCACTTTAAAAATGAATTCGCACTTTTTCTAAAATTTGTCGCATTTATTCCAATTCACTGAAAATGTCAAATGTAGGCGGATTTCCCTGGAGATGATTTCTTGGTGATCGCAGTTAAGTTTAGAAAGAGAAAGAAAAATTCGTCGTCGCTTGTTTACGTCCTCCATAAACCGTGAAATTAGGCATTTTCACGTCGTAGTCGTGCGGTGAAGGCAAGGAAATCTTCAAAAAGCGTGATGCACGTGCAAAGTTTTTTTTGCTAACAAACGTATTGCTTGTTTGACGTCCTTGTTGCCGTCGTCGTCGCGTTGCTAAAGCTCCTTATTGAGGGGCAAGCGTTCGACATGTCACGTTTTTCAAGAGTTTCTTCGCATCTCCTCTGTACCTTCAAACCTCAGCCCTAGTAGACAATGATAACGGTGATTGGAAACTAACTCCCTCATCCTTGGTTTCTGGAATCAAATCAGAATGACTCTATTCTTTTACAGGTTACATACCTTCTTCCTTGAGCCCAAACATCAAAGCACTGGAGTGGTTACCTCAGAATGATCTTCTGGGTCACAAGAACATTAAGGCGTTTGTGTCTCATGTAGGACACAATAGTCTTTACGAGTCGGCATATCATGGGGTTCCTGTGGTGGCGTTTCCTTTGTTTGCAGACCAGCACTCTAATGCAAAGAAAATCGTTCATCTTGGTCTTGGTTTATCTGTGCATCACCGAACTACTAGCGTGCAGCAGGTGGTTGAAACGATTGAAACTGTTGTTTCCGAACCAAGGTATTATTCCGTTCTTCTTTTCTCCCATAAAGTTCACAGAGAATGTAAGGCTAAAGGAGATTTGAGACAAGGGAACTTCACGTAAAATAAAATCTAATCGAAAAAAAAGGAATGCAATCACGTGATCAGCAGCTATGCAAATTTCTTGCAACAAAGAACATTTTTACATTTTACTGTGTTCAATCCGAATATTTCGATACATAACATGGTCGCTGTTCCATTGTTTTGGGAAACCAATATGGCCGCCGTGACGTCATGTGAAGACGAGCTATGGCACCAACTCAAAATACAAGAATACAGTTTATTAGCGTTGATTATGCTACCCGCCGCCTGGTTAGTTCAGTTGGGAGAGCGCCGGTCTGCCGAGCGGGAGGTCGCGGGTTCAAACCCCGGCCGGACCAACACTCAGAGTCTTTAAATAACTGAGAAGAAAGTTCTGCCTTTCAGTAACGACATCTGCAAATGGTTAGACTTTCTAGTCTTCTCGGATAAGGACGAAAAACCGTAGGTCCCGTCTCACAGCAGTTTCACTGATTTGTTCTTGTGGGACGTAAAAGAACCCACATCACTATTCGAAAAGAGTAGGGGTCGTAGACCCCGGTGGTGTGGCCAACCTTTACGGGTTGTGGGATTGGGCAGGGATGGCACCTCGCATGGGACCTGAGTCCCGTTCGTGCACATTCCCTCTGGGCAGGCCTGTGTCCAGAAAAGCTGGTAAATAAATAAACAAATAATGATACTTTTCGTGTAATTACTTTATTTACAGAGTCAAAAATTAGACCCAATATAGCTACTCTTGTCTTTTGTTGGTACAGGTATTTCACTTGCGTTTGCCCAACTGTTGAATTAAGCGAATTAATTAACCTTCCGTGAAAGGTTTGAACCCAGAAGTCATTTCATTAGTAGTTTGAGTATGATCGTTCGGGTGAACGTAGTCCTCAATAGGACTGTTATTGTTGACGGTGTCTGACGCTTCGACAACCTGTGCGGTTGCCATCTTCAGAGTCAAAGTGATTTTCAATTAACGCTTCGTTGACATCTGAGTGTTCTTGACTTGCGCTTGGGCTTAAAGGTTGCAACATAATGAAGCAATTTATTGCTCTTGGGTTTTCTTTTGAACGGGCCTCAGGTTTTTAGTTCAGAGTAACCTTAATTTCATTCGACATTCGCCACTTAAAACAATTAGAAGAAAACTGGACCGGAAAGACCTCTGGGACTGTTTTTGGGGACGGGAAAAAATTGGCCAATAGCTGACTGGCGCGTCACCAGTAACGATCCCAGAAGCAATTGCGGGACGCATCTCGGCTCCAGCTCCCTTCTAGTTTCTAAGCTGATGAATGTTAGGACACAAATGACCTCATCTGTCTTTATTGTTCTTTTAGATTTAAATCCAATGCAATGCACATCTCTGGTTTGTTACAAGATCGCAGACGTACGCCTCTTCAAGAAACTGCTGATTGGATAGAGTATGTACTCAGACATGGTGGAGCTCGTCATCTCAGAGCTCAAGTGCTTAACATCCCTTGGTATCAGTACTACCTACTTGATGTTATAGCTTTCATTGTTGCCATAGTGACCTTTGTGGTCATGGTGATAAGGTTAATGTATAAATGTATGTGCCGAGTCTGTTGTAAGAGGGGAGAGAGTAAAACTAAGAAGGAGTAACTTGGCAAAGGAGAAACCCTTATCGCGAACTAGACTACGAATAGTCCCCCATTTTTCCTCCGGGATAGTAGAGCGAGCGAAAAGCGAGCGCGCGTGAAAATCACCCCACGCGAGAAAAGGCGACTGATTTTCACGCGCGCTCGCGTTTCGCACGCTCTACTATCCCTGAGGGAAAATGGGGGACTAGTCGTAGTCTAATCGCGAACGTGAACTGATCTTTATTGTGTACTCAGTACAACTGTTGTGATCTTTTCTAGTTGATGTGTTAAAACCAGGGTTTGCTGGTCACAGAACACGTAGACATTGCAATGAATCATACGTGAAGCGAAGCCGAACGCAGGAAAAGGCGTTCAAGCGCTCTGCCTTTTTTTACTGATTGGATTAAAGTATTAATAAAGACGGGCATTTCGTATTTGTATTGTTGGGTGTGGAGTCTGCCTGTAATGCACCCCACTGTTGATAGTTAATCGGTGGACCTTAAATTAGACTTTAAACCAAAACAGTACAGTTGACTCCTGATAACTCGGACCCGCACTAACTCGAACTTTGCCCCAACTCGAACCAAAGTCGACTCCTCAGGGTTTCCCTCATACATTTACTGCAATTTTACCCTCGATAACTCGAACCTCTCGCTAACTCGAAGTAAATTTTTGTTTTCTTTCAGATCATTTCTATATAACTTTATCCTCGAGAACTCGAACCATGTTTTCAGCGCGCGAGAAGTCGGGAAAAAAACAGTGTACTAAGTCCGAAATACTGAATTTATTTCAAAACAACCGTGTCGATTCTTTATCTTTACTTTTGTTGTTACTCCAGTTCAAATTCAGTGTCCATCCCTATATTGAAGAAGCTTTGTTGCTTAATATCAATCATATCTCTTGCTGCCCCTAAAGTGAAGAGTACATGATAGTTGCATTCCCTCTCAATCCATTTGCTTCCTTGTTTACAGCTATTTGCTTTGAACTCCTGATAACTCGAACATTTTTCCGATTTCCCTAGAAGGATCGAGTTAACGGGAGTCAACTGTAATTTCAGTAAAAAAGGGTTCCAATTTCAATTAGACTTCTTCGAGGCCTTGGTGACTTATATCGGTTTTAGCTCCGCCCTACGATCAAACCAATGAGAGACGCAACCGTTTCTCTTGTTGAAGACGGTTTAACTTCCTAGCAGTAAAAGTCGTGGAAACACAAGTGGAAAAATGGTAGATCTTGCGTGACCAACGTAAACAAGTAAAGCGAGTGAAAAAAAAGAGACTCCATTTTCTAAGTCGTCATCTTGCCGAAGGGAAATCGTTGGGATGTTTCATGGTTTTATTTCTGCCGGTTTAGAAGTGCAATACACCTGGATGTAGGACAACGTGTAGCCAGGAGGTGATTTTACTTCAGGCAAAATCGCCACTTACTCAGTTTTATGGAATCTTCTCGCATTCGTTTGTGGCAGTTAGGATGCTCCTCGGTTAACGAATCGTGGACGGAGTTTTTGTAACGCTTGAAATAGAAAAGATCGATTGTTAAGAGAAGCAACGGTGAGTAAAGTGTCCTTAAGGAATGAGACAATGGTGGTGAAGTCCCTCAAAAGCCACGGTAAACAGGCACAGGGCTACCAGCACGAGGGTCTGTCATTTTAGCCTGAAGTGGCCTATGTAAGTGAATCTGGAATCCTGGGAAATGTTTGAATGCTGGAAAGTTATACTCGTGGAATCCGGAATCCAGGGCTTTGGAATCCGGAATACAGCTCAATGAATCCAGAATCCCACTAAAGATTGGAATTCTACTGACAAAGATCTGGAACCCAGTACCTGGAATCCGGAATCCACGGCGTGGAATCCAAAAACCAAGAGTATCTTCGATTCCCTCTCGTAGGGCGACCGGGAATATGGACTTAAAGTTCTAACGGCGCGGACGACAACGAGAACGTCACAAAACAATAGGTTTAATGAGGAAAACAACAACTTCGCACGTGCATCACACTTTTTTGTACATTTCTTGCCCGTTTTTGGACGAATACGACGTGAAAATGCCTAATTTCGAGTTTATGGAGGACAAGCAACGATGAAATTTTCTTTCTCTTTCTGAGCTTGAATATGGTCCCTTGAAATTCAGTTTCAGGAGGGCGACATTTGACAAAGCCTGGGGGAATAATTTAAAGACTGAAAGAACGACGACGTTCTTGTTTCAAAGTTTGAATTGGCATCTTTCTCATTTGAAATCTCGCTTAAATCTACGTGGCTCGCGTTTGCCTGATCAAATAGCCATACTTTACCTTGTTGAAGATAAGTGCTAAATCACTAAAAATGTTATGTTGAGCGCATGATTAAAGGATCCACTCTTCCTTAGAGTTGTGCGAAAATATATGTATACTAAGGTAGCTCTCGTGAGCGGACAACCTCGGGACGCGAAAAAGGTGTCCTCTGTTACTGGAGCTGGCCGCTTACGAGAATTGTTCTCATCGTGGCCACTAGGGGGGGGGGGAAGGGGTTAGATGGTTGCTTACTAGATCTTGCTCAACTACAAATAAACATTGGGAATGTAAAAAAAAAAACAGGTGGTTATTGTTTGGCTACACTGTTGTTCTGACGATGTTTTAATTCAGGCCCAAGCATAAAATTAAAGTAGTGGTTTGAAGTGTAACTGAATGAGTATGTGAAAAAAAAAAAACTCTGAAACTAAATTTAGTGTGTCGAACAGTGACTTAAGTCGATCTATCAAAATACTAGATTCAAAGACGAATGAAATTTCATTTCTGGTGTCCGCTTACAGGAGCTTAAAAACAAAGCTAAACTCCAACTCGCAAACACTAAAAGTGTCCGCGGTCTCTTACGGAATTGTCCGTTTACGGAAATATAAAAATACAGAGTTCGTATGGGAGTTAAAACTGGTTTTGTGAAGGCGACCGTAAGTAGAGCTGTTCGTTCCCGCTTACGAGAGTGTCCGTTAAGAGAGCTTCCAATATATAAAAACACCAAACGAGATCATTATGTTGGAGTATGGTCTCCTAATTTAGAGAGCAAAGATAGTCCGAATCACGCCCAGAATGGTGTGGGCTGCTAAACGCATATCTACGTCCCTATATGAGAGACCCCACCCCCCGTCCCTGGGCTCACCTGGGATTGTATCCGAGCAACTGAGGATTACGTAACGTAGGTAAACAGAAGGGGGACGCGGACGCCGAGCGCAAGCACGCGTGAGATTGCTACTGAAGATGGTGCAGTTGTTATCGTTACTTTTGCTGTTATTGGCAGTTAATTCTGCTTCCTCTGCCAAGGTAGCCGGTTTTGTAGCCGTTGGTGGATCGGGATACATCAACATGAGACATATCATGGAAGAACTGGCTTCTCGCGGCCACGAGGTACGCTTATAGTATATTTGCATCATACTCTCTGAGTAAAAGCTGACATCCTGTACTGTATTTGAAGGACACTAGCCTCAGAAAAACCTAATTTATCAGGCAGACGCTTGGCGAGTGTCTTGTGGGAGCTCATGGGTAGATCTCTCAGAGCCGTGACTAATTTTCGTAGATTGGTGATCTTTCAACTCTCTAGCTCACATGACGGCAAAAAAAAAAACACATTCGAAATTTTAATTGAATAGGCAGGGGATAGGTAGAAGATGAGAAGATCAAAATCTGCCGTTCAATCATGAAAAATTTTCGAAAATTTTTACGGTTTTCTTAAAAAGTTTGCTATCGTGACTGACTCATCGCGAGGGTAGCTCATTATTTATTCAAGAGATTTAGAATTTACTCACCTTGCAAACTCGATATTGACCAGTTATTTTTCTGCCAGTCAGCATTTACAGCGTAGATATTTCATCACTACACAAAAATAATCAAACAGCTAAAACAATACTTTTGATTAATGATTAGTCATGGTGATGATGGCCTTACAGCCTATTGTGTGGCCAGTGAGAATATCAAAAATATGTATTACGGACTATGGACTATGGACTACGGACTTCAGACTGCGGGTATAAAAAGCAAACTGAGTATAAAACACTGACTAGGTATAAAAATGTGGACTGCGGACTATCTTTAAAAAACATAGCGCTAATTGTTTCTAGAAGTAATAAAAGTAGATATTTAAGTTTGCGATCTCGAGCAATTTGAAGTCATTCGCACCTTCATTTCAGTGGTCCTCAGTATCACTCTAGATCTTTCTCCCGTCCCCAGAGGGCCTTTCTGGTCAGGCGCTATGTATCGGAACGCTTTTGGCGCTGGGGACAAGATTGTATTATACCTGAGAACCCCAACCCCACTTTCCTAACCGTATGTGCGATTTCTGCTTATTTTGTTTTGCTGTATCATCTATATCTAGGTTGCACTTGTTGTTCCATCCTCCCGTAAATTGAAACCAACTGATAGATTGCCACTCAAGAGCCACAAGATTTACAAAGTGCCATACAAACCTGGCTTCGAAGAGGAGATGATTCGGCTCGAATTAGAGGGACGCACTTTTCAGTTCTTCATGAAAATGAATGAAATATTGTCTACGTTATGTGAAAGCGTCTTGAACAGCACGGAAATCTTCAAGGAACTGGAGGGTTTCGACTTGATTATTTATGACAGCATCAGCAATGGTGGTGTATTGATCGGAGAGAAGTTAGATATTCAAAGGGTGGAGATTATGCCAGGACCACCAAATAACCCATTTGGGTTCGCACAGATGATTCCGATGCCGGTGTCGTACGTTCCCCAGCTAATCACCGGGTTTTCTGACGAGATGACATTTGTGGAAAGAGTACTCAATTTAGGAGCATATTTGGTCTTTAAACTCGGTGTAACTCTTATTAGCTACAGAAAAATGGGCGCTTTGAAGGTTAAATACAACATTAAACCTGAAAGAAGCTTCCAGGAGGCTCTTGCGGATGCCGAAATGGTTATTATCGGAGCAGATTTTGCCGTGGAATATCCACAACCTCTTCTGCCAGGTATGACAGTTTTAAGAAAAGCCTTTTAAATAACTTTGCCGATAACAATTAAAATTATTGGGGAAGGTGAAGTGTCGGCTGAAGAAAATGTTGTTCAAGGCGCAACGACACCAAAAGTGCTCTTCGCTAGTGTTTCGCCCCTAAATTTAAAAGGTACCAGTCGAGAATGTCGCTTTCTGAGCGAGCTTTGAATTTGTTTTAACCCCTAAAAAGCATTTGTTGTGTGACATAGTTTCCGTCAGCTTTCGGCTTAATTCCCTGAACAGTTTGCGTAGCGAGCGCGATTCTAGTTCGTTCCGCTGATTAAAAGTGTCGTGGCCTTCTCCCGGCTAGACAAGAATTTGCGGCCCGCGGGCAAGAGAAATTCAGCAGTCTCGCCCCATATTTCGTATGCTCCTGGCTTGTAAACTATGCCCTGAAGGATCCCTTAAAGTCTCCTCGGCAAATCTTAAGGCAGAAAACTGAGATGAAAAAAATACATAAATTCTGCTCTGGCTTGTGAATTCAGTGCGCATTACGAGTGCAATACTCTGGGTACCAGAGGTTTTTCTCGCGTGTGGCGGGAATTTTCAGTGTTGGCCGAAGGCCGACACATCTTCGGCCGTAATGCGCGTCACTATAAAAACTTGACAGAAACCGGAAACCGCGCTAGAAAAGTCTCTGGCACCCAGGGTACGAGTGCAAGAATAAAGAAATGAATTCGATAACGGAAACCACCCAAGAATCAGTTCATTATATTAATAGAATCTATGGACTCCAATACCCTTAACCTGGTTTGACTGTATTAAATTGACACTGATGGTTGATTACGATTATGTTTTCCTTTTTTTGTAAGGTCAAGTCATGGTTGGGGCTCTGAATGTCAAAACAGCTAAGCCGCTTCCTTCAGAATTGGAGAAATTTGTAAGTAACTCAGGAGAGCATGGCTTCATTATCGTTTCCTTTGGAACCAACGTGGCTTCTCTTCCCAAAGCAGAAGTGGATATGCTCGCTGAAGCATTTGGAAAGCTGAAACAAAGCGTTGTTTGGAGAGTCAAAGGTAATATGGATTGTCTACATGTAAATAGTTTGCAACGTTTTGCAAACTGGAGAAGCGTAACAGGGGCGGATCCAGGATATATTTTAGGAGGGGGTGCACTCGTCTCTTTCTCTACTTCAACACCAATAAGCCACATAGTTTTTTTTTTCTGCAGAATACCAGTTGTATTAGAAAACCGCAGGTCATCTCAGGGGGGGGGGGTGCGGACCCCCTGCACCCTCCCCCTAGATCCGCCCCTGCGTAAACGGGCAGGTATAGAATATGGTAGAGAAAATAATGAGAAGGTGATTGGAAGGTCAGTGCGCCGAAAGTCATCACTGCAAGCTCGCTGTGAAGCACTAAACAAATTGAGGGACTAGGGTCCACGTCACGTTTTCAAGGGTTTCTTTGCATCTCCTTTGTATCTACAAACCTCATCGCTAGTTGAGTTCCCTGATTTCTGGAATCAAATCAGGATGACTGTTTTCTTTTCCAGGTTACATACCTTCTACCCTGAGCCCAAATATTAAAGCTCTGGAGTGGTTACCTCAGAATGATCTTCTGGGTCACAAGAACATCAAGGCGTTTGTGTCTCATGTTGGACACAATAGTCTTTATGAGTCCGCGTATCATGGGGTTCCTGTGGTGGCATTTCCCTTGTTTGGAGACCAGCACTCTAATGCAAAGAAAATAGTTCATCTTGGTCTTGGTTTATCTGTGCATCACCGAACTACTAATGTGCATCAAGTGGTTGAAACGATTGAAACTGTTATCGCTGAACCAAGGTATTTTTTCGTTTTTCTTACCTTCCACAAAGTTAGGGACTGTGTAATAATTATCAGGAAGGGGGGTTCCTAACATGAGCTTCACCAAAGGAAAAATTAGATAGGTCCCCCCTCCAGCAGCGTCAAGATTAGCTCTGACCCCCCCTCACGTTCTCTCAAAATTATGATGTGCCTCCCCCTCTCTAACCCGTACCTTTATTCACTGTACTACAACGCATTCCACGGCGTCGTCAGGGATGAAGAGCACCTCGAAACTTTGTTCTTCATAATCGTCAATTTCCGAATCGTCTGATTGTTCATTATCTTCTTGGTCTTCGGAACTGCTAGATTGCTGCTCATCCGGGTTTTCTTTACCTTGAGCTTCCCCAGCACCTAGAACACGAGCTACGAGTACTGCTTTCCCTCCGCTGACTAGTAAACCGTGTTCCTTTAGGTAGAGTTTCAGTTTACTTGCAGACAGCGAGTTGACTTCAACCTCGTCGGACCAATTAATGTCTGGAAGTTTGTTCCTTTCCGTTGCCCGTTTTTTTGCTTTTATTGCAAGGAATTTTTGGTGCTCTATGAAGTGATGACAACTATGAAACAGAAGCATGTGACATTCCTCAGCTAGAAACTGTATACCTATAAACCCTCTCGCTGTTTAAATCAAGAACAGACCTGGCATGTCTGCGGGACCTCTTAAATGCCAAATGTTTTATTGGCAAAGCTCACAACGTGGTTTGTGACTTCTGTGCATGGACGATTGTGTCAATCTATCATATGTTGACATTCTAAATAAGTTAAAGCATGTGTTTATGTTGATGCAATATTTAGACATTATGGATAGTCAAAGGAGTGGCATCTGTCTATTTGGAAAATGTTTATTTATTCATTACCGAATTTGTGAAATTTAATTAAGACCCCCCCTCAACTTACTTGAGAAATCTAATGTAGAGCCCCCCCCTCCTTTCCATTATTTTAACTTAAGGCCCCCCCTCCTGATAATTATTGCACAGTCCCTTAGCCTGTTCCAGGCTCCGAGATGGTGGTGGAAAGTCGTTAAGTGAAAAGAAATGCGAAAAACGCGCGGGGGCTCGGGAGAGACAGGGCGGCGTCCCATTTTTCCCGCCGCCACCGCCCCCTTTCCCAAGTCGTGCGCGTCTTATTTTCGCTTTGCTCGTTTTAATACGTTTCCACTATACTATCTGAGATCCTGGCACAAAGTTCGCCATGAATGTAAGACCAAAAGAGCTTTTGAGACAAGAGAAAAGGGAACTTCACGTAAAATGAAAGCTAATCGAAAAAAGGGAATGCAACTTATAGTTGGTTGCCACTCACGTGATCAGTTGCTATGCAAATTTCTTGAAACCTTTTTTACATGTGAAAAGAGATCAATGAGAATCTTTTTCTGTAAACCAACACGGCCGCCGTTTCATTGTTTTGTACACCGATATGGCCGCCCTGAAGTCGTGTGAAAACGATCTATAGCAGCAACTAAAAAATTAAGAATGCGGTTGATTAGCATTGATTATATTAATCATACTTTTCGTGTCATCATTTGCAGACAGTCAAAAATTAGACCCAATATACCTACTTGTGTCTTTTGTTCCTACAGGCATTTCACTTGCGTTCGCCCAACTGTTAAATTAAGCGAATTAATTAACGCTTCGTGAAAGGTTTGAACCCAGGAGTCATTTCATAAGTAGTTTGAGTATGATCGTCCGGATGATCGTCCGGATGAACGTCGTCGACAACCTGAATAGGTTGATCTTGTCAAAGTGATTTGTAGGTTGAGTATGATCGTCCGGGTGAACGTAGTCGCGAATAGGACTGTTGTTGTTGACAGTGTCTGAGAACCTGTGCGGTAGTTGTCATCGTTCAGAGTCCCGAAAGGATTTTGAATTAACCTGTTGTCAAAGCGATTTTTAATTAACGCTTCGTTGACATCTTTAGCCTCTAACTTGAGTGTTCTTGACTTGCACTTGGGCTTAAAGGTTGCAACATAATGAAGTGATTTATTGCTCTTGGGTTTTCTTTTGAACGGGCCTCAGGTTTCTAGAGCAAAGTAGCCTTGATTTCATTCAACATTCGCCACTTAAAAAACTAGAAGAAAACTGGACCGCAAAGACCTCTGGGACTGTTTTCGCGGACGGGAAAAAATTGGCCAATAGCTGACTGGCGCGTCACCAGTAACGATCCCAGAAGCAATAGCGGGACGCCCTCGGCTTCAGCTCCCGTCTAGTTTCTAAGCTGGTGAATGTTAGGACACAAATGACCTCATCTGTCTTTGTTGTTCTTTTAGATTCAAATCCAATGCATTGCATATCTCTGGTTTGTTAAGGGATCGCCGACGCTCCCCTCTTCAAGAAACTGCTGATTGGATAGAGTATGTACTCAGACATGGTGGAGCCCGGCATCTCAGAGCTCAAGTGCTTAACATCCCTTGGTATCAGTACTACTTACTTGATGTTATAGCTTTCCTTGTTGCCATAGTGACCTTGGTGGTCATAGTGATAAGGTTAATGTATAAATGTCTGTGTCGAGTCTGTTGTAAGAGGGGAGAGAGTAAAACTAAGAAGGAGTAACTCGGAAAAGAAGAGACCCTAGCGCTATTGTGAACTGATCTTTATTGTGTACGACAACAATTTTGCACGCTTTTAATCGATGTCTTAACACCACGACTGGCTGGTCACAGGAAACTTAGATACATATATTCCAATCAATCATACGTGAAGCCATGCCGAACGCGAGAGAAGGCGTTCAAGCATGCTGACTTTTTGTTAATGAATTTGATTATGGATCTCAAACGACATTTGGCACTTGGATTAAAGTATTCATAGAGACGCGCATTTTGTGTTTTTTGTTCTGTGTAGAATCTGCCTATAATGCACTCCGGTGTTGATAGTTTATTGGTGGGTTTTAAATTAAATATGAACCACAACAATAATTTAAAAAGGGTTTCGATTCAGTTCTTTCTGAGGCCTTGGTAACACATGGTGGTTTTCAGATGCTATGCGCAGACCAATGTCAGTCGCAACCGTTTCTCTTGTTGAAGACGGTTTAACTTTCAAGATGTAACAGGTCATACGGTCCAAGTGGACCAACGGTAGGCCTTGCATAATCAACGTAAACAAGTAAAGCAAGTAAAAAATTTTAGGGGATGAAATAAAGAATCTCCATTTTCAAAGTCGTCATCTTGGCACAGGTGGAATCCTTGGAATATATAATGGCTTTATTTCGGCCGGTTTATAAGAGCAATACACCGACGCAGGACAACCAATAACTAGAACGTGATTTTTCTTCAGCCAAAATCGCCACATACTTTTGTGGAATCCTCGTGCATCCAAATCCCACATTCGAAGACAGGAGGCCATGCTTTGCCAAGTCTTGAAGTCGCCAGGAAATTCCATGGAGATGTAAAACACATATAGTTTGCCATGAGTATCTGGAATGAAGTCATCCTTGTTTGCGCATGGTGTTTTGGTATGATTTAGGACTTTGGCCTCGCTGTGAAAACAAATTTAAAGATATAATTGTTATTTTTAGGTTGTCAGAAACCCTGAAAGAATTATATTTCATTAAATTAACTTGAAACTAAAGTTGCTGCCACTTAAGGCCAGATTGAGTGTAAGGAATGTACAATACTTGAAGTTTACTAGAAAATTTGGTGTGACAGCCACGAAAGGTGTAAATGATTAGCTTAATGATGTGCACAAGAGTGGACGCAACCGATGTAAAACTCCTGTTTCTCCCCTCTTAGTGATATGGGTGTGCGCATGCGTTGGATGAGTGTTGTGACGTAGGGCCTTAATCGGGAGGAGGGGTGGGTTGGGTGTGAAGTTTGTAGTTTGTGCCCGGTCACAGATATCTTCTCAATTGCGCAAACTTTAATGGTGAATTATTCAATTTATTCTAGCATTTTTCAGGGCTAATTTTTGCGTTTTTTTCCTCCTCAGTAGCAGAAGCACATTTCATTTAAATCATTTAACCGCCGCCTGGTTAGCTCAGTTGGCAGAACGCCTTTCTGCTGAGCGGAAGGTCACGGGTTCGAGCCCAGGCTGGACCAACACTCAGGGTCTTTAAATAACTGAGAAGAAAGTGCTGCCTTTGTAATGACGTCTGCAAAGGCTTAGACTGTCTAGTCTTCTCGGATAAGGACGAAAAACCGTAGGTCCCGTCTCACAGTACTTACACTTATCTGGTTCTTGTGGGATGTAAAAGAAACCACATCACTGTTCGAAAAGAGTAGACCCCGGTGTTGTGGTCAACCTTCACACATCACATCATGGGTTGGGTGGGTACAGTATAAATGGACTGAGAGCGGTTGCCAGTGGCGCTTTTGTATGCTGACGTCCGAGCTTACTTTTCACATGTTAAAATGTATTGTAAGAGGGCAGGTCTGTTGTCCTCTCATCCACGACCCTCTCTTCATCTATTTATAAAGATCGACCAAACTAGTCCTTAAAATAGATGTTATCTTATGCTCACCTCAAAAGATGGTGAATCTCCTTCTCGTAGTTTTCTTTATACATTTTATCCGGATCCATTTTAACGTGAGCCTCTTGATTGATGGCGTGTTTTTCAAAGTAGAGCGCCTGCATAAGCCCGCCCACATTGATCCCCTTCCCGCCAAAGTGGTAGGTCCGTGATATATCAGGTATAATACATTCTCGTTCTTTCCTGTTGGATGGCATTCTTGTCCACATGTCCCAGTCTACGATCTCGTGTGGTTTTGGCCACTTCTCCTCTAGTTCGTTCTTGAATAGTTTACGACTCAAAACCCTGAAACCGGATTTCATAGGTTTATGGTCAGCTCTGTTATCATCAGAGTCCACGTTCTCATGAATCAGCAGCGTTTCATCACGTGATTACCCTGAGCGCGACGCTTGCATTCTTAGCGATAGCCTCCCAAGCAGGCGTTTTTAGGGGAGCTCGTATTTCTTCCCTCCCCGCAAACGCCTACTCAACTAAGGACAACATTCCTTTCCTATTGTTATATTCGCGTGGTAAGTGACCAATCAACAGTCGAGAAAGAAAGTGTTGACAGGCTAAACACGACTCACAAGCTCGTGATAGTGTAAAAACGTGACCTAGAACGTGACCCAATAGTTACCTTTTTCTTTCTTTTCTTTCCTTCGCTAAGGCAGTATGCAGTGCACGGAGAATTCTAAAATCTGACTGAGTAAATCTTACTTTTGCCGCTGTGAGTCTAACATTTATTAGGTCATGAAGGTTTCTCAAAGTTTCATGCAGATCGCGTAATTATCGGGTTACCCTGAGGTCAAGGTCAGCTTTCTAGAATTTGGAAAGTACAACGTGATTGGCTAAGCGTGGGAAAGGAATGTTGTTCCCGGTTGAGCAGGCGTTTGTGGGAGAGAAGAAATGCGAGCTCCCCTAAAAGCGCCTGCGTGGGAGGCTAGCTTAGTGAGGGACTAAGATAGCTGTCTTTTTCATCTACGAGCTCCTAAGCAACAGATGAGTTAAAACCTGAACATTGGTTGACCATTCATGATGTCTATTAAATATGTTATTAATTACAAGACATCAAGAAATATCCACACCGAGCTGGAATCAGCCTTGTTTTTACATAGCATGAAATAAAGGCCAATCTAATTTATCAGAATAACAAAGCTAATATTCTTCAGCTGTTCGTTCACTGATTCTTATCATATCTTCGATTAGCTGATTAAGCTATAGCACTGCAATAGAAGAGTCGCTGGTGATCTCCGTTTAGGCTTAAAGCCCGGTTTTCACTGGCGGATAAGCATAAGTATAAGCACAAACACAAGAAAAACGGACAAGTTCGTTCTTCTTGTGCTGGTGCTTATGCTTATGTCGTAGCTTTGACTAGTGAAAACTGGGTCGACATAAGCACAAGCATAAGAACAAGGCCGTGGACCGATCATAGGTCACTTTGACCCAGACCTCATGCGAACATATCAAAAGCAATATGGCGGACGACGCGTCCGCCATCTTGTTTATCATCGGATTGAGGAGAGCTGGTATCGAGAATTGAGTCAAATATGCCATTCTGCACGTGCGTACGTCCTATGCTTAAAGGATTGAAACACTACATACCACCCCAATCCTGGCATAGTCTCCACTCTGTACATCATGGCGGGATCGTTGCAAAGGTGTTCATAGCCCTGGTGAGTCAAACAAAACGCCGGTGGGAAGGAGGTCGATCACAACAGAAAAGAAAATTGATGTTGGTCACTCTTGGAACTTGACGTGTCGTATAAAGCGCACTAAACACATGAGGGATGCCATACCTGATCATTCCAGGCCGATATGCAATAGACACTAGCATCTTTTTCGTACACCGGTAGAAGCTGTTTGAAGTAGCTAAGAATGTCTATGGACACATCCAAGTCCTCCTCAAGAATCACCAAGTAGTTTGCGTTAGGATGCTGCTCAAAAGAATCGTGGATGGACCTTTTGTAATGCTGAAAGAAAAACAGACCGATTGATAAGGGGAGCGATGGTGAATAAGGTGCTGTGAAGGAATGAAAACAGTGGTCGTGAAGTCCCTCAAAAGCCATGGTAAACTGGCTCAGGGGCCCCACGTCACTGTAGCCTGGTTGCAAGAACATTTTTCTTATTTGGCAGCTCGTTTTACATTGGTTTGCAGTGGCGTGGACAACCCTACCTAAATTAGTTGTAGACAAGTGCTAGATCAGTAGTAATATATATTATGTCAGGAACCCACGTAAAAGCGAATCATTGGACAAATGAAGAACATTCAATCTTTCTTTACCGGTAATATTTTGTCGTCTCTCAGAGAGCGAACGACCAACCACTCATCAAAAGGTCTAAGGACTCTAGAGACGAGCTTGAACTCTTGCTTGTCAAACATAAAGTAGATGCTACGTATGAACGAGTTACCTGTGCCACCCTGGCGTTCCGCTGGCTTACGCCAGCGTGTTGCTGCAGTTTGAGCCCCATGAGCCTGGTTACTGCCGCTGGTTCGTCCCAAAACCCATCAATAAACACCGTCATTGTACTCGGGTCCAGTCCCTCTACTTTTTGCAGGCCCCGAAGCATGCGCAGTAGGTAATATGGTCTGTTGCTTGCCATGACGGCTATAGGCAGTTGTAGTCGACTTCCGTCTGTGAAGGGAGGTGGATTGAGTTCTATAGTTACTGGTTCTTCGCCTGAATTGGAACAGAATACACTAATCAGCTCGCTTGTTGACACAAAACAGTGGTAGGTCTTCCTCTTGCCTGTATCTAGACTATCTACTGTAGTGCTCGTAACGGCTGCTAGACTTTCTGGGCAAGGCAACCCCAAAAATATTCCATATGAACATGGGTTCGAGAGCACAACGTTAAAACACTAGGCTGGCGTTTTCCAGTAGGAATAGAGCTAGGCACTCAAAGACATCTGTGTCTCAGGGCTACGATTTCTACGATTTTTCTAGAAGATGGATTGAATTAAAGTTGCTAGAGACACAGGTACCATATACCTCCACCCTAAATGTATCAACTACTCCCTCAGGGTGTACACGAATACTTACATTTACAAACGTCGCCATAACCTTCATACACGTCACAGAATTCTTGTCTCCTTCTGTTAGCTACCGTATCTGCCCAGTTGCACTTCTCGTTAGTTTCTGGTAGCAGCTTTACCCAAGTTCGAAGCTTCACTGCTCTTGCCCACTCGTCTCCCGATGAAGGATTCTGGAAGCTCTCAGCGTGTACAAAAAGCTTATCATTTATTCGCTGAACAACAAATGCCCACGTGGAGCGGAACTGAAGTCGGTTTATAAAAGAACTGCCGATGGTTGCTATATAGTCCTTAGCTTCCTTTGAAAGTTGCATAACTGCATCATCCTAAGGTTAACGGAAATGTAACTAAAGGTTAACTGCATGTATTGGAACCCGATGGTTTGATCTGACGGGGGGTCTTTGAGCACAAGCGTATGCCTTGTTTGCCTCCTTGATTTGCAGTTTCGCGTGACTTCGCATATCCTTGATTAACGGGCGGCGGACAAGCTCTCGATTTGAAGATTGCAAGACGCGGTAGAGATACACTCGACACATTTTCTTTTGCAGAGCTGCGATTCTTTTGGCCGGTGGTGCTCTCAAAAGGATGGCGGCTCTGGGAACTAGAATGACTTCAAGACATTCTCGACCAGAGCTCACGCTTTTGACTCCGCGCCTGAGTCATGCATTCTCTGTGGTCGAGAATGGAGTTCGAGACAGCAATCAATCTCGTTCCCATAGTCCGCATTACTATTGTCCCGCGGAACGTCCAATATCCATCCCAGAGTCCGCGTTACCGTGACGCGTACTCAGGGAACGAGATTGAACAGCAATATATTTTTTTATAGTTGTAACAACGCATGCGCTGTATGTTTGACCGCTGTAGGTGTTGTCAGTTTGTCATACATAATGTAGCCAAACTTTCTTGCTTAAGCTGCATCTTACTTTGAAGAAGAAGAAGAAAAAGCAATCTTTAAAAGGAATACAGTTATCATAAATACCTTGATAGCAAAGCAGATTATCCTTCCCCGCCTGAGGCCTTTTAGATGATTAACTAGGAAATCGCTGTCCGCTTTAGATTCGTAAGTATCATACCATCGCGAGGACATGACGTCACCTGTTACTTCATTTAAGACCACCACGTTTAGTCCTCGTATTAACATTTCAGATTGGTCCACTCTCTACCAAAAGCAAAACAAATAATATTATCACGTGATTCAAATGACACTTATTTATTAATCACTTCGCTTCGAGGGTTAGTTATGGAGCCAAGGTTGTTACTTTTGAAAGCTATTGAGCGGTGCTTTCTTGTGGTATACGAGGTATACGTGCTGTTTATTATGTCTGTCATATATGTTGTACAAGGTGGTTCTAACTTTTGAGTCTGTGGATGAAATTCCATGGTGTGGCCATTCAAATGAAAGCTACTGAGCAGTACTTTCCTGTGGTAGTGTTTATTATGCTGTACAAGGTGGTTCTAACTTTTGAGTCTCTGGATGAAATCCTATGGTGTGACCATTCAAATGAAAGCTACTGAGCAGAACGTTTCTGCGATGCCGTTATTGTGCTATACAAGATGATTTTAACTTCTGGATCTTCAGTCTAAATCTTATAATGTAACCATGGAAAAAGTTTCGGTAAGGTTTGTTTACCGCTACTGACCGTTTTTCCATTTAATGTAAGGGTAACGTTTTCCTTGCTGGCATATATTTCTAGTTCCAAGTACCTTGCTCCTGTAGAAGATGAACAGTAATGTATTATTAATTTATAAAAGTGTGCGTTTTCGAACTCTGAAATGGCCCAAGGAATGCATGCCAAAGCGTCCTATCTAATTCATCGATCTCTAGTGTAACCGGCAGTTTTTAATACCTATTGAATTTAGTCTGCGAGCCAGTTCAGACGTTCCTCCTTGGCCTTGCAATGCTTGTAGACTTGTTTGAATAAGAGAGATCTTACAAGACCTTACAAAGGCCGCTTATAATTGACATAATTACGGATAGCTGGTTTCAACAACTTTTACTCTTGTCAGCCAATCAAAGCATAAATAGTCTGTCAGACAAAAGAATTATCGTAGGAAGTACCGTAAGCCATCGTCTATTTTTCTATTCAGTTTCAAAAGTAATAAATCTTCTCTCCTGTCTTTTCTCTGCTCCGCTGAAAGTGATATTTTTCTTTTTGTCGAACCGCCTTCTGTTAGCCTGCTAAGCTACGCCGTACCCTTCGATCGGCTAAATTTTACAGTGCATTTTGTTTTACTAAGAAATAGTATCCACAGCTCCTTTTTCATTCACGTAAGACTTTGAATAACTAAAACTGGTCATAAATATTGCCCTTGGGTACATGCATATATATTTTGTAAACGATGTATCATGAACGCAGTACGATTAAAACGGTATGCACATTGATATAAATCGGTTTACTGGTATATAAAACTTTTTAAAACTCTCTCAGTACATGATCTTGTTTTACCCGGCATTAACATAAACTTTAAACACATTAACGTTTACTGCTTACCACTTGGCTTTCCAGCTATATATTGCCTCTTTCTGTCGTCTAAAGTTGCAGACCGCGTTAATTTCTCTCTAGGTTCCTCTATTTTGTGTGGCAATAGGGAGAGTTCAGAAGTAATTGGAAGGACGAAAACCATGTTAAAAATAACAACTCCACCGGCGGAAACGATGACAAGCCAAAGAATGAAGCGACATAATCCAGTCTTCGCTCTTCTCCACGCCATTTTAAAGAAACAGCAGGATCAAGGAAAAAGTTAAATTTTTCAGTACTTTATTTCCTGTATATCCCTGACGGAGAACTAGTTCCAATTTAAAGGCTGAATTGAGGAAACCAACTGTTCAGCAAGTAGAGTTCGAAAACACTGAGAAAGCAGCATTCAAATTCATCATAGCTTGAAATTGTTTCTTAGGAACGAAACTGGCTGCTGAATTTAATTATTTGTCAATTTTTCAACGTGTACAAGTGTAATTTATACGGCGTTTACACTCTGTGTAGCCGAAAATGATCTGAATTGTGAGTTTGCACGAGATGTAAAAATCGGTATTGACAACTACTGAATTTTTCGAAATAGTGATTTTTAACCCAAAAACTAGAACACCGTACCAGCAATTTTGGTCAGTGGTTTTTGCTAGGATCTATTATACTATAACTTAGATTCACACACTGACGATGAAGTTGTGATTCGGGCATTGTGGTTCTACAAAAAATAAATCACGAAGGCGGGATTAATTTTCACTACTATAAATTCTAGCTGATATACTACAGCTTTAAAAATACATTTAATATATGCAGAGTTTATAAATACAAACTGTTTTCCAGGGCGATTGATCATTCATTTTGATAAGTGTACCGTAAAAGGTCGAATTAGCGTACGCTAAGTTTCACTTTCTTTCTGGCATGGTGTTTAGCATTTACGAAGTCGTTCGTATAGCCTGTCATGCAGTCGCGTAGTTCGAGAAGCTACGGCGCGAACGACTTCGTAAATGCAAAGGAACCTCTGCTCGTAGGGTACGCTAATCGGAGCGTTTTTGCGGCAAATCAAACCGAAAAACGCTCGCCACCAAGCTAGAGTAAGACGGCTTCTTTCTCAAGCTAAAACGACCTCGTTTCTCGTTTTAATGATAGTCTTATAACTGTTCCTTTTTCTTTTCTTTCTGTCTTTTTTTCAGTCTCCCTTCATACTGTCCCATTGGAGAGCAGAGGCAATTCTTTTACAAGATACACCCTGCTTTCGCGAATTCTATCATCTTTCCTTGACGTTTCTTGTAACCGAAGGAGCTTCTCTTTCAAGTTGTCATTTTGATCTCGGAGTAATTCTACAAATCTGTCTTTTCTTTCAACAGCCATTCGTAGCTTATTTGATTCTTTTAAACACGACGATACGTCGTTTAAGTACAGAACGAAAACAAACACTGACCAAATAAACGCCATAGCAAAGATCCCAATATTTACTCGTCCGCCAAGAGCCATAATTGTTTCTAGCTTTTCTAAAAGGCTCTGCAGTTTGGAGATTTTCTTGCGGATCGATACACCGACACGATTGTTTCTGGAAAACCCACTGTCGATTTTGGTTGTACGTAAAACAACTGTTTTTCCTTGATTCTTGATACGTAAGAGTCACCAGGCCTCGCTGAGGCTTGCAGCCGATGTACGTATGTAGTAGTTGTAAACGATTACGATAAAATCGTATAACCCTGCGAGGGAATATACCTGCAAAAGACGAGGAAAAAAAAAAGATTAAATATATCAAGTAAACAATGCGTCGAACTAAGCTACTATACTTACATGTAATAAGTCAAAACCGGTGATCGGTAGTACTATGACAAATTATATTAAAAAAATAAGATTACTCTCACTTGCTAAAGAAATTCACTGAAAGAATCAATTAACCATGTGATTCCTTATTAAAAATCATTTAAGTCCGCGTTTAATCATCGGCAAACCTCGGGCTGTTCGGGTGGACTTCGCGGTGAGTCGGTCAATTTTTTGTCATTCTTGCATGTTATCGACTGAGGTCGTGGGAATATAAAGAAAACGTTCTCAAAAGTTCTCAAATGACATGATTAATAGTCGAAATCCTCTTCACCGTGTTGTCGGATACAAAGAGATTTAATTTATATTCCTTGCGTTCACTATCTCTTTTACTGCAGCTACAACGCTAATCACGTAACGCTAATCGCGTAACGACAGTCAAGAGTGCTCAACGAGTCGAATTAGAACTCGCAATCCGGCGGTCCCGGTCCCTCTGGCCACTTGCTGAATTTGTTCTTAGTCGTTCCGGGTTCAAATCCTCGGCCACACTTGTAAATAGCCAACTATGGTTGCCTCCTGCCAGTTTGGTTTTAATCCTGTTATGTTCAAGTTGGATTATTTGTTTCTAGTTATTTAAGTGGAGTGCCTGTAAACTAGCTGGATAAGCTCGTCAGTGCACTTTCCACTATGAAGAAACCCTTATTTTGTAATCTCGGCTTTAAAAACTGGCAACGATCGGCCCTCGTCTATAGGAAATTGAATGTACTATTTCACCTGTTCGTTTGTTTCGTTTTTCAGATTCTGTCGTAGAAAAAGAGACTTGGTATTTTTTAGAAAAAAGATAAAATATAGACAATTTTGTATTCTTGATGATCTAAAAATAGCCGCAATTTCGGAAAAAAATGTACCATCGTCATTAGATCGCCAGTCGCCCACAAATCACGTCCCGATCTTGGCTTGACTGTTTAAAATCATTTATGTAAAATTGCTTTTTTGTTTTTGTTTATATGACCTTTTAAAAGTTTCATGAAAAACAATGAAGAACGGCAGGAAGGCCTGTGCTCTCTTTTCGGTTCAATGGTCCTAAATCAAAGATTAACATTTTGGCATTTAAAAATACGTATCCTGCGAATGCAGTCGTCTGCCCTCGCCCATCGCCCGGCTAGAAGCGTATTACATCCCAAACGGCGAGGAGCCAGGAGACACAACTCTAAAAGATATGCAAATCTGACGGATTAAAAAGCGCCATTTATAAATCATTATTTATTTTTCTTCGTTTCATGCACCAGGTGATCAAACATGAAATATAGTAAAAAGAAACTCCGCTTTCCAAACTGCGACATCGCAATATAACAAAATTATATTGAAATGCTTATCATTTTTTGGACAATTTAAATCGCTAGTTTCTAACCATTTACTTCCTTCAAACTGACAACAATTAAATTTGAAAAATTATTGACAAATGGAATATAGACATTCGTTCACGACCAAAAAGCGATCGGTACGCTGTACTCTTAAAGCTTGCCTTTGCTTTAGTTCGGAAGAAAATAAAAGCAGACGAAAAATCATGATTTAGAAAATAAATAATATACGTAATATTTTACCTCAAATAAATGCTTACGATGATATAAAATAATCATATTTGTGAACTGCTGATATAGAATATGCCGCTCCTCAGTAGTTTCAAACTCAATATACTGATTAATACCTGTTTGTAAGAGACTTGTTCTTTGCTTCGCCCCAAATCAAAGTATTATTAGTATTACGATCATTGAACAACCAAATCAGATATGAAATGATCGAAGCGTTTGGAGCAAGAACATCGTGTGAACTGAATTAAAAAGGGCAGCTGCTGACACTCGGAGGCTGGTTAAATCATTAACAGGCAAGGTCTTTCACAGATATTACATAATTTGGCTGCTCGTCCCAACGAATAGTAAATGGCCTGGGTTAGAATAGTCTGCTGCTACACAGCCGTTTTTAGAGTCGTCACGCAACGCTCCTCCCCACTTGTGGGGAGGAGCGTTGCGTGACGACACTAAAATTGGCTGTGTAGCAGACTAGGGTTAGAATGTTCACACTCGTCTCAATATTTGCCCTGTTTTCCAGGTTGCCTTATAGGCCGGCTAAGCTACCAGGCGAGGCGCCTTGATGATGGCAACGCCAGGAAAATGATTGTGCGGCGCACAGGTTATTATAAAAGAAACAGACCATAACCTTAAGTCCTGTTAGACGTTCTTCAAGTACCAAACAAAGTGTAGTATGGGAAATTCAGTCAAACTTATTTTTTCTCTTTAGTGGCCACCACCTAACCACCTGTTAAGAGGCCAGTTACCAGTTTCACCAAAGCCCGAGGGATAAAAATTGTAAGAAAATCACTGTAACCTCTAGACTACGAGTAGTCCCCCATTTTTCCTCAGGGATAGTAGAGCAAGCGAAACGCGACCGCGCGTGAAAATCACCCCACGCGAGAAAAGGCGACACGCGGCAGGGAGAGAGAAAAATCCCTCCCCGCCCCGTGTCGCCTTTTCTCGGGTGGGGTGACTTTCACGCGCGCTCGCGTTTGGCTCGCTCTACCATCCCTGAGGAAAAATGGGGACCACTCGTAGTCTATGTAAACTCCTCTGTAGCGACCCCTCCGAAGAGCGACCCTTTAGGTACATTCAACGGCAATACACTAGCCTGCATGATGGCGGGCTCATAGCTTGCGGAACAGGTGCTGCCTAGTACCCAGACGTCTCTTTCTATGAAAAATACGGCCTTTCATTTTTCTCCTTCCCGTGGTCCTTTGCATTCGCGTGTCGCTCGCGTTTCGCGCACAATTCTGTGCGAAAAACGAAGCGTCTGAGAGGGATGCTGTAGCAGTTGCTTGTTTTTTCAGAGCAAACGGAGAAATTTCGAGGACCCGTGCGGGGTCTTTCTAAAAAATACACAAAAAACTAACCGGCGCTTGCAAAATCAGAGCGCCGAAGTGCTTTTCGGCTGGTAGCGAGCGGCCAACCCTCGAGCCGGGGAGTTTTCGTGAGCAGCGACGAAACGAGGGAAAATCCTAATCCAGGAACAAATATAACCTGGATTGAGCAACTCCCGTGATTTCGTGTCACGGCGTTTACACGGACCGATATCTTAATTTGCCCAATTCTACACATTTTATGGCTCAAAGAGCCTTTAATATGAGCTTCTTCTTAGGCCAACAAAATGTTCGCCGAGTGACTAAGGCTCTTAAGTATGTTCTGTACGAAGGCACTCTTTTGAAGAACTCCACTCGAAGTCTGACAACTGCTTCAGCCTGCGAGCGAAGCTCTCCATGGCGCTCTGGCATACCCCCGAGAGAACTTGGGTGCAGGGTACCAGGTGTTCAGATAGTACTGCGTGGCGTTCAGAATGCGGGGAAAACGAGGGGAGACTGGAGCTAGAGAGAGGGAAGTACTGTCATGAGGGAAAGACGAAACGAGCTTCCCTTCTCTTTCCCCAGTCTAGTCTCTCCTCTTTTTTTAACCCCCATTAATCTTTCGCCCTAGTTCTATTATCTGAACGCCGGGAATAGGCCATCATAGCCTGCATAACAGGTGTTAATGAGGGCGCTCTTGCGGGTTTTTAAACGTGAGCGCGAAAATGCGAGACGCTAAAAAAACTTTCCTGGGCTCCCCTTGCCTGTTCTGCGGG